CAACCCACAAAATCAGCAAAAGTAAATGTTTCAAAATTACCCAGAACAAGCATGGCCCCAAAGAAGAGATATGACAAGACCCTCCCCCCACTCCTTGGCAAGGGGGGATGGGGGTCCACAGGTGTGGAATATTGCATGCATATATTATTTTTTCCTTGATGTTTAAATGTTTTGCTGATTTTTTTCTTCTTCTTAAAAAAAAAAATCTTTGTTTTACAAGAGGGCTCTCTGGAAGGGGAAGGGATCCAGGGAGATATTTAGGTGATAGAAAAGCAAAAGCTATCGATAAAAATTTTTTAAGAAAATTCTTTAAAAAATTTTAAAGAAACAAATAAAAAATGCAAAAATAAAAGACTTTGAATTTCCTGACTTCTGGCTTTTCTGACTCTAGGGGTGGAAAGAACACTGCAGTTGGAACCATAAGATGTGGGCTCAAATTCCGGCTCTGCTATAAACTAGCTGTGTGACCTTGGGTGAGGCCTCAGTTTCCTCCTCCATAAAATGGGGCAGTTGGACTATATGATCCCTAAGGCCTTTTCTGTTTTCTGTGGTTCTGGGATCCTCCCCTTTCCACTCCAATTCTATCTTCTAGAAGTTTAGAAACATGACAGCCAAAGCCCAAGGTGGGTCCATGGGCCAGGGAGAGGAGGAATCCTGATGCCGAGAGCTGCCTTGCCTCCGATGCCCTTCCCCTCTGGCTGCCTTCATCCGCCTCTCTCTGGAGTCTGGCACTGCTTTCATCACCTCTGTGTGCATATGATACATATCTCCAAATAGACTGTGTCCCTGCCTGACTCAGACTAGTCTCATCAAGTTGGCAGGCATGGAGGGACACGGGGAATGCCCAAGTGTCTTTGCTCACTTCAGCCCTCTTCCCCAAACACCCAGTGCTAGCCACCCTTCAAGGCCTGCTTCTTCTGCAAAGCCCTCCTGACCACCTCGGGCCCATAGTGCCATCACTGTGGCCCCTTTAGTGTTCATTTATGTTCCTTTAATTTTTTTTTTTATAGATACATTCGCACAACAGAAATTTCCTAACAAAGAAAAAGCAAAAAGAGTCCCTGTCCTCAAGAAGCTTGTATTCTAATGGAGGAGGCATCACATATAAATCAACCCTTGGATAATGAATCTGGAGTTGAAAGAGGAGAGGTCTTAGAGGAAAAGAGGCTGGCAGCAGGGAGGTTGGAAGGGAGGGAGAGATGGGGACCAGAAAAGGCCTTCTGGAGGAGGTAGACCTTGAGCATGCATGAATCTTTTCTATTTTTTTTTTTTTAGGCAATTGGGGTTAAGTGACTTGCCCAAGGTCACACAGCTAGTAAGTATCAAGTGTTTGGTGTGAGGCCAAATTTGAACTCAGGTCCTCCTGACTTCAGGGCAGGTGCTCTATCCACTGTGCCACCTAGCTGCCCTAGAATGCATGAATCTTAAAAGGAAGCTGGAATTCTGAGAGTTAGAGATTGGGAGGGACCAGGCAATCCAGGTATGAGGCACAGCCATTGCAAAGGCCTGGAGATAGAAGATGGAGATGGAATGTCAAGTGAGGAACAGCAAATAGGCAGCACGCCCAGATCATTAAGTGTGTAGAGGGCTGTAATGAGTGAGAAGACTGGGAGGGGAGGAAGGAGCCAAGAGGTGAAGGGTTTTTAATGTCAAATAGGGGAATTTGTATTTGGTTCTGTGGGATCAAATAGGGAGCCCTTGGAGCTCCCAACAAAGTAATAATGGCTCACACTTACCTCGAGTTACAAGATTTATGACCTCCACATACACTATCTCAACCCACCAAACCCACTCACTCTCTATGTTATACTAAGCTAGCTGCTTAATGATTTCTCTGGGTCTCAGTCGCCTCATCTGTAAAATGAAGGGTATAGCCAACATGAACCCTAAGTTCCCTAAACAGTTAAGCAAAACCCCCAGGTGTGTGGTTGTAGGTGGTCTATCAGTGAGCTTCCACTTTCGTAATTTACTGATTGTAAGAGAAAGGAAGGATGTTTTCTGTGACTTTCGCAGTATGGTGTCATCACCCGCCGTTGGAGTGGACTTGATTCTGAGACATTTAATTTCTCGTTATAAGAGTCTCTGTATTCTTTGGGCTTGGTTTTCTTCACTCAAGTCTTCTTATGCTTCTCTAATATATTGCATTATATTCACACCTGAGTTCCTGCAGTTTCCCCAATCACTGGGCACGTACTTTGTTTCCAGGTTATCTTTATCTGCAGCACTCAGATTCCTTTTCCCGTTTGAAATCCACTCAAGCAAAATTTCTTGCCCAGTCCAAATTAGGGTGGCTGTAATATACCGACCCCAAGTCATTCATTCTCTCTCCTCTCTCAAGGAGTTTAGCACCTGACTCGCCACCTTTCTTTCCTCCTCCATGCCTGCTGTTATAGCAGGAGACTTCAGCATTTAAATCGATGTTCTTTCAAACTCCTTAACCTACCTTTCTCAGTCTCCTTAAGCCCCATACCTACCCCTCCTAATCTCAGTTATGCATAGGGATGTTCACACACCATTACCTCTAAGTGTTGCATATCCCAAATTAGACACTCTCAAATTCCCCCAACTGACCATAACCTCCTATGATTCTACTTCTCCCTATGCTTTACCCACCCTAAACCTATTGAGAGAAATGATTATTAATAACCAATGATTTGGGGAGATTCAGATTTCCCCCTTTTTCTTTTAACTTCATTTTAAGAACTTAGTCTCTGAAAGTGAGCTAACCTTCTCTTCTATCCAGACCCCACCCAGGGAAGGAAGCCATTGTGCTCTACTCAGGTTTGGTCGGGGCTAAATTCTTTGAATAGATTGCCCAAGGCTGGGGGTGGGGGTGAGGAGCAATTTGAGAAGTAAATGGCATAATCAAAGTTCGGGTCCAGCCCCTCATTGTAATATTCATTTTCTCTGGTTAACCAGAGTTGAATGCCACCTTTGGGAACATCCCCCTTTCAATGAGCATATAAACCCATGACCATCACCATAATTGTCTGGTCTAAGAGAGAGATGGCCAAATGACCATCCTTTTATTAATGAACATGCTGGCATTATTAATAAAATGATTAAATTACCCAGAAATTATGTCTCTTGAACCTTTTTAAATGCCACCCTATTCTCGATCATGACCCCCATATTTTCTGAGACCATTAACCCTGCTCTGATTTCACTTTCCTCCCTTTCCACTCCAATAATTAGCCATTTCAACCCTACCCTGTCCTCTGCTCTCAAATCCCTAGCCCCCTTGTTCTATTGCTGCTTATCTCTTGCTCTGAATTACTCTCACTATCAGCCTCCTCCACTCTTAACCCTAGCTGTTTAATGCAGCTGGAGGAAGTCTCACAAATATGCTGATGGGGCACATTACAATTTCATGTTATGCAACCTCAACTGGGCCTTCACTGTAGCAGGGTAGTGCTCTTATTACTTTACTGAAAAGAAAACGAAGGTCACTTGAAATCATCTTCTTGAGTTGGGAGATGGAATGTTGTGTGTGTGGAGCAGTATGAAGGCCTATGTAGCTAAATCATGGTATCCTTGGAGGAGAGTAAAGCAGAAGACTGGACTAGGGGGTTGTATCCAGGTTGTGAAGGGCCTTGGATGACAAATAGAAGATTTTATATTTGATCCTGGAGATAATACAGAACCACTGGTAAAGTTTACTGAGCAGGGAGGGGTCATGGTCAGCCTTTGCTTTGGGGAGATTACTTCAGCTGCTGAGTGGAGGGTGCCCGGGGAGAGACCTAAGACAGGGACACCAGCCATAGATAGGGCTATTGAAACAGTCCAGGGGTGAAGCGATAAGGGATAGCCCTGGGGTTGTGGCGGTGTGAATGAAGAGAATATAGGGGACCCAGGAAAGTTCTGAAGTTGGACCAGAAGGAAGAGTCATGAAGAAACCAAAGAGAACTGCTCCAGCAGACTGCCAGAAATCTGCAAAGGCTATGAGGACAGACAAGCTAGCAGAGGCAGACAGCCCAGGCCAAAGCCTCAGCTCCACAGGCAGAAGATGAGCATACCTGGCTTCACACAGACTCTTCACGGCTGAATTTTCCCAGCTTTTGCCAGATGCACCAGAAATATCACACTGGCTGTTCTGGTTGAATAGTGAGGTGATATCCATAATTGTTTTAATTTGTATTTTTCTGATTATTTATGCCTAGGCCGTGGGGCACTCAGGTAACCATCCCCAGCCATAACAGGAGACAGACAGGGCCAGATCAGCACCCAGGAAGTCTTGCCAGAGACAAAATAGGAGACAGTGCCAGAGCGAGACTAGTGCCCAGGCAACCCATGCCAGTCCAATGCCCAGAAGGCCTGTATTCAAGCCACAGCAGAAGACGAGGCCAGACTGGCACTCAGGTAATCCAACGCTCAGGCAGAGAAGGCACCCAAAGAGGACTACAGTGTCTGTTCAACCCTTGCTGGAGCCACATCATGATCCAAGGCAGCGCCTTGGAAAGCAGTACTTAGGGTTTTTTTAGGGTGCCTTCTACTAGCACAGTCAACAACATTGGATTTGGGCCTGTTAGGGGCAGAGGAAAGGACAAAACCAATGCTGGGTCTGGGGCTACACGAGGAAAAGGCGACAGAGAAAACCAGAAACCCAAACTAAAACTCTACATTGAGCCACCAGAGCCTAAACCAAAACCCAGCATCTCCTGCAGATGGTAAGGCCTGGTCTTTGCCACCATCTTTGGGAATAAGCAGGGCCTGCTGACTGCATCCAAGAGTACAGGGAAGAACAGAATCTGAGCAAGGTCCCAGTCCAGAAACTAAGGCTGGAGATATGGGTAAACAAAAGAAAATGGCCAGTGGCTTGAAAGAAACCCAAGAGGTAAACCCAGAGGAAAATGAGAGACAGAGAGAGAGAGAGAGAGAGAAAGAGAGAGAGAGAGAGAGAGAGAGAGAGAGAGAGAGAGAGAGAGAGAGAGAGAGAGAAGAGAGAAGACAAGAAACAAAGAAAGAGTCCTTACAGAAAGGAATGTCTTATTGTGTTTCAGGTCAACTCAAAAGAACGAGGAGGTACCAATTATAATTTCAGGTATGGAAACAGTAAAAATAGATATGATTAAAAGAGATAAAAAGAGAAACTACATTATGCTTAAAGTTACTATAGACAATGATCAATACAATACTTCATATGTATGTACCAAATGAAATAGTATCTAAATACTTAAATGAAAAGTTAATTGAAGTACTGAAATAGAGAATAAAACAATAATATTAGGATGATTCAATCTATCATATTCGGATCTAGAAAATCTACAAAAAAGGGGAAAAAAAGAAGTTAAGGACCAGAATAAAATATTTTAAGAGTTAAGTATGATAAATTTTTGGCAATTACTGAATGGAAACTGAAAGGAGTATATGTATTTCTCCATTGTGCATGGCACCTTTACAAAAATTAATTGCATTTAATTATTTTGTGTATGTTTGTATACTTCATTTTGTATTTATATATGTATGTATTGTCTCTTCCATTACAAATGTAAGCTCCTTCCAAGTAAGATTTGGTTCGCTCTTTGTACTTGTATTCCAGGCAACTAGAACAGTGACTGACACATAACAAGGGCTTAATAAATACTTGTTGATTGATTCATAAAAGCTCACAAATACAGAAAAGCAAAAATGTTAAACATATTTTAAACACTTTGCTGACCACTATGCAATAAAAATTATATTCAATAAAGAACTATCAAAGAAAAGGTTAAATATCAGAGATTAAGCTTAATCCTAAGGAATTAGTAAATTATAGAACAAATCACAGAAATAACAAATAATTTCATCAAAGAAAATGACAATGAGACAAGTTTTGGGATGTAGCTAAAATAGTCCTTAAGGGGAAGTATATATCTCTACATGCTTTCATAAGAAAGAAAGAAAAAAAAGAACAGATTAATGGAGCATGAAACAAAAATAAAAACAAAAAATAGAAAGAAAAAAACCAAAAAAAACAAACCACTGAATTAAAAATTCTGAAAAACTCAAAAAGAGATTAAGAAAGCAAAAAATCCACAGGTCAATAAAACCAGAAACTAGTTGAAAAAAAAACCACCAACTTACAAAATGTAAACAGATATACAAATTAATAAACTAGTCTAACTTTTTCTTAAAAGAGAAGAAAACCAGTTGCCACTATAAAAAATGAAGATAATTCAAAACAATTGAAGTGAAATAAAGAAAACTATGAGAAACTATTTTGCCCAATTATATGTCAACAAAATTGATAAATAGAAGAATATTTATAAAAATATAAAATATTCAGACTAACAGAAAAAATACAGAATTTAATAATTCAATTTTAGAAAAAGAATTAGAACAAGACATAAGTAAATTCCCAAATAAAAAACTCCAGATGAATTTATAAGTACTATAAAATATTCAAAGAACAATTAATTTCAATATTACACAAATCATTTGCAAAAATGGGAAAAGAAAGGATCCTACCACACTCCTATGATACAAATATGAATCGTCTATAATTTTCTTTCTCTGCTTCATCTAAAACAATTCAAATGGAAGCAATTCAGTTTCCTGGCATGACTGATAAGATAGTCCAGGTTTCAAAGGTCAGCACAATGGCTCTGTAGACCTTCAGTTGGGTAGTCAGTCCAATACCTCTCTCCCACTTTCCTTCAGAGCCTCCCAAACACTGAGCTAGCTCTGGCAATGTGTGCCTCCCTGGAAAGTATACTGCAAAGGTAAGTGATCTTTCCCACAGTATTCAAAACTTTTTCATTTGCTGTAACTGTGGTTCCACGTATTGATGGTGTGGTGCTGACTGGTGGAGCACCTGTGTTTTCTTGATGTTAATTGTTAGGGCAAAATTAACAAAGAATTGATCCATACTTTGTTGCATCTCCTCTTCAGAGGTTATATGGAGTGCTCAATCATCTTCAAACAAAAAATCATGCACCAGCTCTCCTTCCACTTTAGTCTTGGCTTGTAACCTCTTCAAGGTAAATAATTTCCCATCGGTGTGGTAGCTGACCCATGTTCATCCCCATTTGAAAGTGTTTGACAACACGACTGAAAACATCATGCTAAAAAGCATGGGGGCAAGCACACAGCCCTGCTCCATTCCATTGGTGACTGGGAAAGAGTGAGAGCATCATCCGTCATCCCATGAACCTGTGGGAGCATGCCATCATGGCACTGATGTACAATAGTGATGAACTCTATTTGACATAATTTCCCAGAAGCCCTCTTGACTGACAGTATCAAAGGCCTTGGTCAGATTGACAAAGATAGCAAAAAATAGAGAGGAGTGGTCAGAGGGGTAGAAGGTGAACCATGAGAGTCATGTACAATGTCATAGAAGCCAAGGGAAGAGAGAACATTAAGGAGGGGCTAGTCTAAGAGTGCCAAGTGCTATGGAGAGGTCAAGGAGGATGAGGACAGAAAAAATACCACTTGAGCTGGTGATAAAGGGTCACTGGTGACCTTGGAGAGAATCGGCTCAGCAGATTGATAGGGATAGAGTAAGGGTTTGGGGAGTTACTGGGTGATGAGACAGCGAGTATAGACTATTCTTTCTAGGAGTTTGAAAGTGAAAGGGAAGGAAAGATAATAGCTTAAGGTGCCCATACAGGGGAAAGGGACTGCAGATGGTTTTTGGTTAGGGGACACCTGCCCTAGCGATTGTGTGTGAACAGATTTTTTAATGGTTATTTTTTTGTTGTCCCAATTATTTAGTCTTTTCTTTATTTCAGTAATTAGTCCACATAAAAATCCTAAATTGTTCCTGGGTGAGTTAATTCCCACATCTTTGATGTTTTTTCTTATTTTGTTTTTAAATTTTATTATCTATTTATTTCTAACATTTATTTAAAAATTTTTTTGAGTTTCAAAATTCTCTCCCTCCCCCTCCCCACCCCTTCCCACCCTATTGTGAAGGCAAGAAAGGTGATATAATTATACATGTGAAATCATGCAAAACATATTTCCAAGTTAGCCACGTTGCAATGTGAACAGGTTTTTAAAAAGAAACAAGGCATATTCTCTGCCCTGAAGGATCTTATGATCTAGTTGAGGAAATGAAACAGACACAAGAAAGAGTCACATTTATGAAGTGAAATAAGTTTACATTCTGGGTAGCTAAGCAAACAGCTTAGAAAAAGCCTTCTTTCCCTGACTGCTGTCAAAATAAACTTGGTCCACCTTGTCTTGGCCCTATTCATCTTGCCTCAATCCAGAGACTGCTTGCGCAATAGTTTAAAATTTGTAAGCACAAGGGACAGCTAGGTTGCACAGTGAATAGAGCACTGGCCTTGAAGTCCTGAATTCAAATCTAGCCTTGGACACTTACCAGTTGTGTGACCCTGGGCAATCACTTAATTCTGATTGCCTCCAAAAAAAAAGCTGCAAGCACAGAACAATGCACCTTGTTTGGGCCTTGGGGTCCCAGAGTAAAGGAGTCCGGGGAAGGGGGACCATCAGCAAAGAAGGGCAAGAAGGATCCAGTTGACTCTGGAGTCAGAAGACCTAGGGTCATTGGCTGTGTGACTTTGGGCAAATTATTTAATATCCCTCCGCCTCAGTTTCCTCGTCTATAAAAAAAATATGATCAATATACTGCTTGCCTTTTCACTGTGGAGGAAGGGGAGAAAGGGAGAGAATCAGAAACTCAAAATTTTTTTAAAAAGGAATATTACATTAGTTGGAAAATAAATGAAATATTAAATTATTTTAAATAAAAATGAAGGAAAAAAAAGGAAGGAAAAAACCTGGTTGTTGGCACCATTGGTGAAAATCCAGAAGCAGGTTTTAGTCCTGCACTTGCAGTTAATCAGCTGTGTGACCTAAGTAAACCACAGCATTTCTCTGGGCTTCTGGAGCTGTGAAAATAAGGGGTTTGGACTTGATGATATCCAAAGTCCTTTATGATCTTGCCTCCTCTGCAAGGGCTGCTGGGAGCTGAGGGGTCCCCTGGTTTCATTTACAGCCGGCCAGATGGAACTGGTTCCCATCCCAGCTTATCTTCAGTGGCAGGAGGGGGAAGTGAGGAAGAAAGCTTTCTCCTAAAACAGCTCTAAATGACATAAAGAAAGCACAGAAGAGGGAGAGGGGGAGGGAGAAAGAGGGAGAGACAGAGTGAGAGTGGAGAGGGAGAGAGAATGAGAGTGTGTGGTGGAGGGAGGGAAGGAGGGATAGAGAAACGAAGGGAGGGAGGGAGAATGAGAGTGTGGTGGAGGAAGGGAAGGGAGAGAGAGAGAAATGAAGGGAGGGAGAGACAAAGACAGCCTGGTAGAGTCATGGTACTATATATCAGATCATCATAATCACAGGATCATGGAGTTTTAGAGGTGGAACCCTAAAGGTCTAGTCCCCCATTGTATACAGAGGACCAGAGAGGCCGAGTGGCTTACCTGGGACAGAATCCACCAGATTCTGTGACACCTAGGGAGCTCTCAGATTATTCTCCTCGGTCAGGTTCTAGGGTCTGCTAGGAGCTCCTACCAGCAATAATGACTGATGTCCCTCCCACCCAGTATCACAGCAACAGAAGGAACTTTAAGAGCTCATCTGACCTCAATTTTCCAGGCCCAGGGGGCTGATGTAATCCTGAGCATTCTCAGAGTCTGAGCTCCTAGCAGCCTCTTCCCACGAAGCTCAGGTGCCCTTGCCTCCTGAGGCGCACCCCAGCTCAGCTGGTCATCCTCCTGCTTCCTTCCACCTCTCCCTGGCTTCCCGACAGGCCGGCTCCCTTCGCCTTCACCCTAAGGGGTGGTCAGGATTGGCGTACTTCATGGTTCTCTGCTTGGGAGCCCTCAGTACTTCTCCTCACATTCCAAGGAAGAGGAGGCAGGGAGGGAGTACCCGAAGATGATTTTCTCATGTGATTCTGAAAATAACTAAAGACAATGACGGAATCAACGGTCCACAGCAATGGCAGCATCAGAGGAATGGGTGCACAGACCTCCAAGCGGACTACTCGGACAGTTTGGGGCCATCAAGCAATGAGAACGTGGGTGTTTTTCTGTTTTAAACAAAACAGCCTCACCTTATGTCACAACCCTTTTGTAGTACCTTTTCCTTCTTGGGTAGGTTGGCTAGCTCAAGCAAAAATCACAGGCCAACGGATGACTTGGATATGAAAAACACCTTGAAGTTTCAAGAATTCCAACCCCAGCCCCAAGCAGCCTGGCCAGGGCAGAGAGAGGCTGATTTGGAGCCAGAAAGCATGGATTCCAGTTCCAGCTTTCCCACCTGGAGAGAGCCATTTAACAACATTGAACCTCAGCTTCCTGATCTATAAAGGACTTGATTAATTAATTAACACTTGAACAACCTTTTGTGAGGATCCAGAGATACCAGATGTAAAAATGCATTCGAATCACATGGTACCCTCTGTAAACGTCAGCTAAAAGGAGTGCTGGGAGGTTGGGGAGAGATTCGATTCTCAGAAAGCCCTCTTCCCTCACCTGCCCACCCCTCTGGGGCTGCCTTATGTTGCCTGTCCAGCTTTCCCTTGGCTTTGAGATTGATGGGGTACCAGATCGAAATGTGAAACAGGGCTGGGTCCTGAAGGGCTTTGCACAGGCTGAAACCTATCAGAAATTCCCTCAAGCAGTTCTGGACCTGAGGGTGCTATGTTGGGGGTGAAAGAGGCCTGACACGCTCCTTAGAGAAGCTTGAGGGCTGTCCCCACCCCCCTCCCAATGATTCGCCTGGGCACTCGCGGTTGGAGGCAGGGCACCAGATGCTGCTGGTGCATCCTAGGAACCACCATTCAGGGGGATGCCCTAGGTCAGCGCTTCCACGTGAGGTTTCGACCCACAGTTTAAGAAGGACTGAAAGGGTCAAGAGAGGAAAAAGTTTGAGAAGCCCTTCCCTAGGTGATGCCAACTAGATGCCAACCAGAGAGACTTGAAGGGTGATCTGGTCCAATCCCCTCATCTTACAGAGGAGGAAACTGAGGCACAGAGCAGAGAACGAATTTACCCAAAGCCGGAGAGTTTTAAGTAGTGCCAACTAGAGTTTGGGCCCAGTGCTCTTATAATTATATTGAGGCTATAGAAGGCCCCCAAGCTCACCTGAGACCAATGAGCATTTCATCTTTTTTAATTACAAATTTTTTCTTAATTAAATATTAAAAATGTTAACATTTAAAAAAAATTTTCCATTCCAAATTTTCTTCTTCCCTCCCCCTTCCCTGCGAATTTAATTTGTCAGATTATACACATGTGCAGTCACGCAAAACATTTCCATATTAGCCATGTTGCAAAAGAAAAACAGACCATTAAAAAAAAATCAAGTAAAAAAAGTATGCTTCAATCAGCATTCAGACGCCATTAGTTCTTTCTCTGGAGGGGGATAGCACTTTTTTTTTTTATCATGAGAACTGTCTTAGATCACTGTATGGCTGAAAATAGCTGAGTCATTCTACAGGTGATCATCATGCAATGTTGCTGTTACTGCGCACAAAATTCTCCTGGCTCTGCTCATTTCACTTTGTTCTTGCCTTTCCAGGTTAATCCTGCTGGTCATTTCTTAGAACGCAATATTCTATCATAGTCATATACCACAACTTGTTCACCCATTGCCCAACTGATGGGGACTGTTTCCCGTTCCCAATTCTTTGCCACCACAAAAAGAGCTGCTATAAATATTTTTGTACACATAGCCCCTTTTCCTTTTTCTCTGATCTTTTTGGAATACAGATCTAGCAGTGGTATTGCTGAGTCAAAAGGTATGCAGTATGGTTGCCCTTTGGGCACAGTTCCAAGCTGTTCTCCAGAACGGTTGGACCAGTTCACAGCTCAACAGTGAGTGCATTACTGTCCCAATTTTCCCATATCCTGTCCAATGTTTATTTTCCTTTTCTGCCATATTAGCTAATTTAATAGGTGGGAGGTGATATCTCACTTACTTTGCGTTTCTCTAACCCACAGTGATTTAGAGCATTTTTCATGACTACCGAGAACACCGATTTCTTCTTCTGAAAACTGCCTGTTCATGTCCTTTGACCATTTATCAATCTGGGAATGACTCATTGTTACAAAAGAAACTTACTTTAAAAAACTTCTCCTCAGTTGTCTGCATTTGGTTTTGTGTAAACCCTTTTGAATTTAATAAACCAAAATTATCGATTCTGTGTCCCATAATGCTATCACTTATCAGTCACAAATTCTTCCCTTATCCATAGATCTGACAAGTACAATTTTCCAAGCTCCCTTAATTTGCTTATCTCACTGTATGTCTAAATCATGTATCCATTTTGACCACATCTTGGTATATGGTATGAGATGTTGGTCTGTATCTAGTTTTTGCCAAACTGCTTTCCAGTTTTCCCATCAATTACTGATAGGCATTTTCTTGCACATCTGTAACCTCTACTCCCCCAGTCATAAAGCTCTCCCTGACCTGGTGCCATCTTACTTATGACAGAGGACACACTAAGCCTTAGCATGATCCTGCTGCTCATACTAGCCGGGCTGTGAAGGTGGAGCAAGTCACAGGCATTTCATAGGGGTCAGGGAGGGGCCACTGGGATCTCAGTGGTCCAGTAAGATCCTTCATCATATTTCACTATACTGCACACCACCCTTCCATCTCAATTTTAAAGTTTTTCTTGTTATTCCCCAGTCAAAGTCAGGGTTACATCATCTTTATTTACCCTGACCGCTTGTGTGAAGGAGGTAAGAGCCAACTCACCCTGAAAACTTCCCAAGGGTCCTTCCAAGTGCTTCAGTCCTCTAGTTAAGGTTAGCTCTTAAGGAGTAATCCCTTTGTTTAAAAAATCAGGGATTCTAAAGTTTTTGTGTTGTGGCCCCCGTGCTGGTGAACTACAGGTATCAAAAAATAAATCCATTATATGCTCTTTGAGCTACAACAGGTTTTTACATTTTAAAATATAAACTTTAAAGTTTAGCCATTCTTAGCTCGTTGACCATACAAAAGCAAGCTGTGGACACTGGGCCACAGTGTGCCAACCACTGCTTTATGCCATTGCTTTCAGTGGCCATCAGTGTTAAAGGGATGTATACATATGGGTATGAGATGAAAACATCTAAGCTTTTATTCAAAGAATAAATCATTAACTTTGATTGGCCCCAATAAGGTCTCATCACAAACAATGCCAATGCATGAACTGTGAAATGGTCCATCTAGGCTGGATATTGATACAGAATTACAGCAAACTAAATTGTCCATATCCCTTGATACAACAGAAGTGAAAGACAGAAACAAGAATCCAATAAATGCCAAAATATTCATAGCAGCCTGTTTCCAGATCTCTGTTGCCACAAAAGTGGATAACCATCGATTGGCGAATGGTGGAAAAACTAGAGTGTATGAATGGATTATCGTGCGGTGAGAAATGACAATTCAGAAAAACATTTGTCTGAACTGACTGCAAAATGATGGAAGAATGAAGGGAATACACACGACAACATTGTGAATGACAAGATCACTAACAGGAAGTCAAAGTAACTGAAGTCCCAAATCGAGTCCCTGACAATAGATAATGCGTAGAGGAGACTGCTCATGGCTGAGGCAGAGTATCACAGATTATCAGGTGTTCTTGCTTCTTTCTTCTTGTCACTGGCAAGGGCTCATTCAAGCAGAAAGTTGTTTGTTTGTATGTTTTTTTTAAATCACCACGATCTGGCAAATGACTCCTCAACAGTTCTGACAGTGGAAATGAGAACATTTGAGGGCCAGTGCACTGTGCAAATGAAAAAGGAAGAGCTTCAGGCTAACAGATGGATTGGGAGTGTGACCTGGAAGCTTACCTGGCTAGGCAGTAGCTGAGAAGTGCAGGGTTCCAGTTTATTAGGAGCAGTGCCTGTGAGGCCAAGAGAAAAGTCCCTTTCTGTGGTCACTTAAAGGCCTTTCCCAGCCACCATGGTCCTCAAATCACAATCTCTGCATTGTTGACACGGCTGCTTTTCTCATCTAACCACAGTCGGTCTCTGGCCGACAGGCTCACCCACTCCCCACCACACCCTTCTCCAGATCTGCACCCCCCCAAGTCTGTGAACACCTTACACCCCTGCAGGCCCACCTGTCTCTGCTTGCTCCTCACTTTCCACTTGCTCCCATGGTTTTTCTGCCAGGGTCTAGGCAGCTCCTCTCTTGTTTTCTGACTATAGAGGCATTATCTGATGAGACAGTTTGAGAACACAACTCTCTACCAGGTCCTGGGCACTCCGCCAACGTGCAGCTGGGCTGACTGGTTTGTTTCCAAGGTGGAGCTGATGGTTAAAGGTGAGAACCATGGAGATCAGATTTCACTCAGTACATACCTCACGATACAAATGGAGACTTCTCCCACCAGACAAGTGTAGATCCAGCGTAACCTGTAAGCATGTTACGGTTCAAGTCTGCCTGGCAGGCATGGGCAGATGAAGGAGGGCCCAGATGGGTTTAGCTTTGGCTATGCTTAGGACTTTGCTTGGCGAATGAGGTAGCCTCGGACCTATTACTGGCCGGCACACCACCTCCCACCTGCAAATCCGGAGCCAGGCCACGTTACGTCCCTTCTGACAGGTCCTAATCTTCCTTCTCATCCTTATTTAAGATCTTAACACCAGGCAAGCCCTCAAGTTGTTCAGGTTTGGATATAGCTCAGCTGTCACATAGCAGATCCCCAAAGGCTCCATCCTTTAATGATGTCATGTGAATCCAATAACCCCAGAAATAGAAGGGCCAGAGAGTGAGTTGGAGTGGACCTCTGAGGTCATCTAGTCCCAGCAGCAAAGGACCAAGAATGTCCTCTTCAAGTGATTGTTTCACCTTGCCCACTGTCCCAGGCTCTGCCCTCTAGGGTCAAGAACATGAGCTCTGCACCTCTGGTGGCAGCTTCTCCGACATCAACCCAAACTTAGGGTAAACAATGGGGCAGCCACAGTTCCAACTTGAATCTCAACTTGTGGAGGAATGCTTCTTTTGGAAGAACGTCAAAAAGAAACTATCTGCAGAACCACAGCTCTGAGGAAAAACCGCAAGAGACTGATTTTGATCCTCTCTTGGTGTACTTAGATGACTGATGTACTGGAGGAACAGAACAGGGCAAACAGAGAGGAGAATATTTTCAGATACCGGGATAAGAAAGCTTCGGTTTCCTGATATCACTGGGAGACCATTAAATTGCTTGCTTTCGCTGAGTCAGTCCCACATGGAACAGGGACAAGACCCTTAGCACTATCCAGAACTTCCTTTAAGAGGACAGGATGCATGAGTAATGGAAAGATTTGGGGCTGAATCACAACTCCTGCTTTGGCTGCTGGACAACTGTTCCCTCAACCAAATCCACTGAGCTAGCTGGAATATTCATATAGAAAAATTCCCAACAGCTGTTAGCACGAGTTGAAAACAGATCTACAATCTATAGTCTTATGAATGAATGAATGAATGGATGTGTAGTTGGCCTTGCACCTGTGGCAAAGATGCTACCTTCTACAAACCCGAAATGGCCTCGGGTGAAGGAATGGCATTGCTGAAGCAGGATCCCTTTAGCCTTCAGACCTTATTTCAATTTTCCCAGACAGCTATCCTGTTTCTAGTGATGGCAGCAGTGCAGACTGATGTAGCACTGTTTATGCTTTAGGCTGAAGTCATCAACTTAAAATAATTCATACAAACTAAATTCTCAAGCGAGGAAATGGTCTCCCCAAGGAGAGGAAGGGAAATGATGGGGTGGTACTTCAAGCTCCTTAGGTCAACACAGAGGCAATGTGTTCTCTCCCTTCCTACGTAACTAATAAACAAATAAGGGGGAATGCCCCCGCTGACAGTGGGAAAAATGAAATGAGGACTTGGGGTCAAATCTTTAGTTAGGAAAGAGGTTGGAGAGACAGAAGTGCTCCAGTATCCAAGCTCAAACAGAGGTGGGTAACAAGGAAGCTAGAGAAAGAAAATTCGTCTCTGCTTTCCTTCCTACGTATAAATACTGTTGGTCATCAGGAGAAATCACAGACTAAGGAGGATGGAAGGCGGAAGGTAGGTTAAAACACAAGGCAATAACAACACTGGTTCTTTTGAGATGTGAAGCTGCGGCAGACTCACTTAATCCCGCAATCAAGACAGCCTGTCAGCAGAGGTCTGGGCAGCAGCCACATAATATTGTATGCCTTGGAGGGCAATGCCGGAGTGGGTACCATCACCATTTTACTGAATCAGAAAAAGTGAACTCTCTCCTTGAAGTCCCAAGCCATGGGCTGAGAAGTGCTGAGGGACACTGGATGATGTGGGTGGGGCAGGGTGTTTAGGCTGGCACTTTGGTGCCAATCCTTACTGCCATGAAAGAATGGAGGTGACGCCAAAAGGCCATCAGCAAATTCCCAGTCCCCACAGGCCGCCTTCTACATCTATTTCTTAAAGGCCATTTCCCATCACACCTGGAAACTATTGAATCCAATGGAAACGGCATGGCTGCTGATGACTGGTTCTTGTTTTGAGAAGGCTTATGTTCCTTTTAACAGGGGCCCCTTTGTTTTTTGGTTCAAAGTCAGTTATGTGACTTGGCCTGGAAGGTGAAAGAAGTAATGTGACTTCCAGAACTTGGCACTACCCTGACAGCCAATGGCACTGGCTTCCTTGTGAGCACTGGGATCTGAAACCACCTTGGAGTGAGTGTTTGTGAGAAATCTCCTTCAAGGAGAGCCAGCCACTGTTTTCTCAAAAAGCAACCCACTGATGGAAGTAATGTAAAATATCTATGGCGCCAAGGCAGCAGGTTTTGTTTCACCAAATAATAAAGAAGGAAATTAGGCTGGAAAGACAAGAAATCCACCTAACTTACTAGGTAACTTGAACTCAAGCCAATTAGAAGAAGTCAAGTGTTACCTGCCCGATCTGCCTTACAATGATAATTATATGTCATAAACCTCCACTCAATTTGTATTCTGAATCTGAGAGCTACGAAGTAATTTGTGGCCCATGTCAGATAAGAATGGCAGGAAAGTAGGGAAAAATCTAGAAGGGAACAAAATTGGAAAGACCGCTAAAGTCCAATTAAGTACCAAAAAAGAAAAAAAAACAATTATTTCCAAATCTTGCCACCTAGATCTTGCTGACGGGTGAAATAAATCTCCCTTGTAGATTCTAGCCTTAAGCCACAAGGAAGAAAATAAGAGAGCACTTGTAAAAAGAATGAGCTTGTATTTCTTCTGATCCAGAGTGGTACAATTCATGGTATTTGCACTATATGAGCAGTCCCACTTTCAGCTCTCCCCAACAGCCCCCATTCACCACCTTCTAAGGTCAACATTGTACAAAACTATATTTACAAGAAAACCAGTTAAAAATGAGGGGTGTGTACAAAAAAGAAGGGTGTGGTGGGGAGGGAAAAGCAATTCAAGCAGGGAATATGCCTGGGACAGAGGGGACATCCCAGGCTGGGCCAGGGCCATGCATCACTGCAAAGAGTGCATGGAATCATCTCTCAGTTTAAATGTTTCAAGATCTTAATAACTGCCCCTTCCTCCTGTCCCATGGGATCAAAGCAAAGTGATCACAAAGAAAAAAAGGAGGGAAGAGGGGGTAAACAACAACCTGTATGTCCTCAGAACTCTCTTTAGAACACAGTCTTTGACATGCCCACTGTTGGGCTCAGAAAGCATAGCGGGTACGGATGTCTTCTAGCTTCTTTGAGACCTCAGGTGGTGTCCTGTCCAATTCTTCTGATACATTTTTCTGTTTGTTGGGCTCCATTGAGTTGAACTGTTCACAAAGGTCCCCATCAATCACATTCTAAGAAAGGAGGAAGAGAATATCAGCACCCTAATGCTGAATTTGATACTGAATTTGAACAATTACTACGAGCAAATGAAGACACAGTGAAAAATTAAGAAAAGCCTTCTCTCTCATGGAACCTTTAATACAAGATAGAGGACCTGGGTTTAAATTCCACTTCTGACGCTTACTACTTGTGTGTTGACATTTAACCTTCCTAGGCCTCCCTCAGCTTCCTCCCTTGTAAAATCAGGAGATGGGATTAAATGGTCTTTCGGGGTTGTTTCCAGCTCCGGAGGTGTGACTGTAAGATCACACGACTAGGGCCAGGGCCTTAAGTTAGCCCTTAATGCCTAGGTAAGTGCTTCCTAAAAATGGATATGGGATCTGAAAGAACTGTTTCTGGGCATGGGGCAGAGAAGAGGTGAAAAAGAAGCTGAAGACTCTTGAATTTTGGCCAGAAAAAAAGGATAAGGCAGCTACTGGTTATGCCCCTCCTGAACACAGGACTGTATTAATCAATTCCCCTGAGGGAGCAGAGGTTGTAAACGCATACAGCTGCAGACTACCACACTCAGAGCAGGGCTATCTCTAGCCACATCTGCCTTTGTCAATTCAATCATTCAAAATTATTTTGATTCTTAATGGAGGGAGCATTCAGTAGGAAGAAATCAAGTTGTTTTGGTGATAAAGAGGGCCCAGGTCAAGTAGAATTAGAAGAAAGGGTGGGAAAGAGGGAGTTCCATTTCAGTGCAGACCCACCTTCACAGGGAAGTAGTAGGAACGGAAGCTGAGGTGGTCCCTTCCGCAGAGAGGAGGATGCTCAGACCGCAGGTGCATCTCCACATGCTGGAAGAAGTCATGATCCTGAGAAAGAAACAAAAACTAGAAAAATGAATCCCATGATGTGGCTTCCTAGATTGGAGATGCTGAGAAAACATCTAAATGAATCCCTGATTTCTCTGTCCTCATCTCTTAGACTACAGAATACATGTGCTCTGGCTTCAAAGAGCAACATGCTTCTGTTGGGTTTTCCAAGGCTTGCTTTCTTTCTATTACCTCAGGGCAGGGGCAGTAATATCCATTGAGGGGCTAGAGCTCATCAAGAGGCAGGCATGCTGTGACCGGGGAGGCCTCTGGCTCCAATTCGCACATAAACTAAGGTCTTGGCCTCAAGCTGTTCTTACAAACAGAGCAGCACAAACTCAGTTGACTAATGCTCTCTCTTAATGTGCGGGGCTAGGGTTTAGGTGTGATGACTTTTTTTACCTTAGGGGAAGACTTAATGGGGTTCAAACTGAAGAGAAACCTGCACCCACACCAGAGCACACCCTTAACCCTTCAAATATCCAGTTCAGAAGAGCTTCCAGGACCCTCCCTGCCAGACTGTCTCACCCACCCAACTTTTAACACTCCATCGAATAGACTATGGCTGCTCCCTTTGTCTTCCTGAAATGAGGCATGGGGCCTGATAACTGCTAAGTGGGAAAGAATTTTCTGGACTTGCTTTTCTAGACAGTGGCTCCCTGCAGACTCAGGAAATTACTCCATCAAGGAAGAATGTACTCTCACCTCATGGGATGTGAAAGGCACAAGGATCCCAATCCCGCCTGACAAGGTAGTGTAGACAAGAGATTCTGAGCCTCCTGGGATCAGTGTGGTCTTCTGTAAGGAAAGTACTGTCTCCCCCACATGATAATTCATGATTACTTCTGCCTGCAAACAGAATCACACCAATTTGTGTCCTCTTAGTACAGTCTGCTCTGGCTTACCAAGAAAGTCTCAAATCCCAAGAGGGTGAGGTTGGCTTTACTCTTCAAGTGATGGGCTCTTCTCAATGAATTTAAAGAATGGGGAAAAAAATGTTTGAAGTAATTATATTAGCTAAAACCCTGACATTCCAAATCCATAAGAAATTGATGCAGATCTTCGAGATTAACAATACATCCTCTGCAATGGTCAAACTGCAAGAAAAATAATTTACAGAAAAAATAAGTTACCAATAACCACATGAAAAGATGCTCCAATTCCCCTAATCATCAGAAAAATGCAATTCAAGAAAGCCTTAAGCCATCCCTGGCTGTGAGGAAACAGGCTTCTTAATATGCTTTTGGTTAGACTGGCCACAGAAACAGAACTGTATAGACACTGACTGCAACTAGGTATACATACTTTTAAGAAAGAAAAAAAAGTAGGCAGGGAAAACAGCCAGAGACGAAAGCGGCAGAATTTCAGGTAAGCATGTAAGAGGATCCAGGAAGGGGAAGGTTGCACAGCCAGACTCAAGGCTGACTCAGACCTGGATTTGAGCTCTACCTCAGAAACACACTGGCTGTGTGGCCTTAAGCAACTGCTTAACCTCTTAGAGCCCCACACAACTTGCCAAAACTCCAAGATGCAAGACAGCTGCCTAGCTGAATCACAGAAGAATCATTCCTGGGAATTCCCTACACCAGTGAAACCACAGCTCTGGACAAAAAAGGCCAGTGTGCTATGATGCAAGAGAGAAGGAAATGAAGGCCAACATGAGGCGCCCTGAAGGATCCTTTAAGAAAACTACATCCCTCCCTTCCCCACATTTAGATCCCCCCCCCTTCCCCGGGAACTCAGTGCGACTTACAGACGTTAATTCATCAATCCCTGTACCAAAATCTACAGACAGTAAAAAAGAAGCGCAGAGGGGGAAGGAAGCCCAGGGCTCAAATATCAAGGTCTGTGCTCTCAGGCATGAGTGTGTCTGTAAAGTTAAGGCACTATGTAAAGTCCGTGGCTCTAATGGAGTTGGGAGCAGGCGTGTGCAGACAGCTCCTAAGGTTTTTCTACCAGAGGAAAGGACTAGACCCTGGACCTGCCAGACTGATCATGGCCCCGGAGGCCCAGAAACATTACCTTTTGTGAGGCACCATTGAGAAGTCCCCGGTCCCACAGGGCCTTGTTTCCTGTCGGGTCTTCATCCACTTCATCATTGGTATTAGGTGGGAGCCTCACCTACCAGGAAATAAGACACAAAAAAGGGTCTCTTCTCTGCCCTGTGAACCATGGCATTATCCTGGGCAGCATACCTGCTGGGGAGCTACTCTAAGCAGGGACCTGTGCAGCTAGTAGATGATAGCATAGCTCTAAAGTCACGGAATTTGAGCACATGCCCACATGAAAAAAAATTAGGCTTAAAAAAAAATTAGGCTGTAGACAAAGCAAAAATGCTAAAAACCAAAAAACCACCAACCCCCTACCCCAAAAAAACCCCTAATCTGTAGCTAACAGACCAGTCAGTAAAAACGTTGTGAGTATAAATGACACTGGTGTACAATGTGAGTAGATGAAAATGTTTCTCAGCTACAATTTACTTTAAAACCCAACCAGAAGCAACAGATTTCTGTTCTATTGTCTCGTCCCCCACCAGCCTGACAACTCTCTCCCACCCTGCTGAAACCCTTCAGCAAGGACACTCACAACACAAATGTTGCCGAACTTGTCAGCCCCAGCCACAGTATCATAGTCCAAGAGGCTGGCCGTTGTGACCCAGCGGGGATAGGTGTCGTCAGCAAAGATGATGAGCTGGTTTTCATTGCGCTTGTACCTGACCCAGATGAAGCTCTCCTGGACATCAGACACGATGACCCGGTGTCCAATTGTCTGAATGCCAGAGATGTAGTTTGCAATGTGCTGTGAGAGGAGACGGCAGTGCAAATGAATCCTAAGAGCACAGGTAGCGCCCACTAGATTGCACCTGTCCCTGACCAGAGCATACACACGGCCCAAAAGCTGCAAGCCAGTGACAGCACCAACATGTCTTAGGTCAAAAGTTCTAAGCAAATAGTGAGCAGAGCTCAGCCTTTTCTGCAGCCCTAGGAATGGTACCGATGTAATGCCCCATGTAATGAGTCTTCCCGGTCTCTCTAGAACTTTTTCTCTACCCACTCAGTGCCTGGCACATGACATCAAAGGCACCAGAGAGATGTTTGCCTGTTGATGGACAGCTAACACCAGATCGACATCTTAAACCATATCACCAAGATCCTGAGTAACAGATTCCTATTATTTCCTCTTAGTATGCCAATCCACCTTCTTAACTTTCCCAAGAATGACCTTTCCCTAACATCCCAGAAACTGGGTTTTGGATCAGCCTTTCAAGAGAACTACAGACTATTGCTTACACCCACCACCCCAAACTTGCCTCTCCCTAACATCCTGATCCACTACTTCAGTTTTCTTACTCTCCCCCGACCCTCACGTTACCTTATTCTCACATTTTCGGAGCAACTTCTTTTTCCCGAGGTCATAGACACGCAACAGCTTCCCCACACCAATCAATACCCTGCCCTGGAATGGGGCAATGGCTGCAGGGACCTCTTCCACTGGTGTCTGAACAAGAGGGAGGAGGAAGGAAATACATTTCAAGCTCCACCTTCTGTAGGAAACCTTCTCTCGTTCCCCCAACTGCCAATGCCCTCCCTCCCTCCCAAAATGCCATACATTCAACTCCCTTGTATTTACTCTCTATCTTACTATCTCTCTATCTACGAGTAGAGAAGGTTTCATTTTTTTCTATCTGTATCAGTACTTAGCATAATGCTTGGCAGTAGTGGGCACTTAATTAATGCCTATCAATTGACTGACAGCTCTCTGTCAGATGTCTAATTCCAGCCATGAGCTCTGGCTCTGAGGCCCAGAGATTAATGCCCTCCCACACATCCCAGGCACATGGCAATAAGATACATTGCCAACTATAATTTTTGCTTCTTTGAGAAACAGATTGCTATACTTTCATGCTTTTGTCTAAAATTTTTTTTTTCCAAAAGGGGAATTTGCTAAGCAGTCTTATTCTGCTTTAAGTCACACAGAAGAATCAGAGTCAACTTCTATTTTGCAAACGGGAAACAAAGGTACTGAAGTTTCATACTTTGTGTGAGTCACCAAGGAAATCAATGACCTAACTAGGCACACAATCTGGGAATTCTGACCTCAACTCCAAAAGCCTCTTCTAGAGAGGAAATGTCAATTTAGCTGGCTTCAGCTGCTGCCTCCAAATAACAGGAAGTGCTGGGTTAAGCACAGTGTGGGTGTGGGGAAAGAGGGTACTCATGAAGATAATCAGCTAGATGCCAGACAACCTAGAGGGGACTGTGCACTTTTACTATTCTGTTTGGGCTTGGCTTTTTCATCTGGAAAAAAAAATTCACTGAATCCTATCATAAAAGGGGTTAGTATCACATATAGGAGAAAACACAAGATAAGCAATTTCACCTAAGGACAGAGCTAAAGGCACCACATTCATCAAATGTAGGCAAGTCTGACAATACCATTTGTTTGGAAAGGCTGGTCTTGGGTCATGCATTGCTCCAGTAAACAAGGGGCCAATTCAATCTGCCTCTCCCTAGCGTGGGCAGCAAATACCCAGCAGCTTCGGGTGGGACTGCCTGGACCTGTGTGTGTGTGAATGAACTGCAGTAGGAAAACCCCAACATTCTTAAAAATGCCACCGTCCTCTCAAAAGGGGGCTTCGGTCAGTCACTGAAATGGTCCTAGACTAACAACAATGAAGAAGGTCACTACAAAGTAAAAGTGTCACTAGATGGGCTCTTTCTTACCTTGTGCAAAAACTCCAGTTTCTCTCCACTGTTCACGAGTTTATAGGTATAGACAAAGCCTCCAGCCACCGAGCGGGGATTCAGAATGAGGTCTTTGGCTACACCCACCAGCACATACCAATCATCACCAGTATTTGAGAATCGGCATACTGCCACACTGTGGATAGAGAAGAAGGCCTCAGGGGTAAGTCTCAACCCAGGAATCTCCAGCCCCCTTCTATGCAACTCTGAAGTTCCTCAGGATCCTTACCTAAAAGCAGCCTCATTCTGTTCCAGCTGGACAAGATCCAGTGTGTTTCCTTGTATGGGATTCATTACCCGGACCACAGAAGCCCACTGTCCATTGCCTGCTTTGGGGGCTCCAAAGATGGATTCTGGGAGATTTTCATTCAGGAAGGCAGCAGCCATCTCAGCTGCCAACTCTCTCTCATCTTCCCCTGCTGCTTCTACCATTTCCTATAGTACAGAACGGAAGGCAAAAGCCACAAAGCGGTGAATAGGAGTCCAGTGAGGAGGGAAAAAAGATTAAGGTCAAGAAAGAAATAAAAATGTGTTGGGGAGTGCAAAGGGAATTTGTTTAGGCAGAACAATCTCCCTAAATGAGAGGCTTTTGCCTCCCCTATTCCAGGGTACAGTGGGCTTCTACTTGGCTGTAGTTCTGTCTGGATTCTTGCTGCGCAAAGAGAAAAGGAAAATGAAAGCTGTCTTGATTAGGCCAGGATCCGACATGGGGGAAACTGTGTTGTGCTGAGGCCTCAGACCTAAGTTTGAAACTTCTGCTCTACTCTTTATTCTTGGGTGATCGTGGACAAGTCACTTACGCTCTGTGGGCCTGTGCTTAGGGAACTGGCCTGGATAAAGTCTAAGACCCCTTTGGTGCTGTTTATGAAGGCAGCTGGTCCAGGATGCACCTCCATCAGCAAGCAGGTCAAACATCTTGACTCTGGCCATATCTAGCTGTCAGTGCTCTACTCCAGGGCCGGGAGGGATCATTACCTCTGCCATCTGCTGCTTCCTCTGTGCTTTTGTGGCCTCAGTATAGGCGTTGTGATCGGTCTCAATGATGATAAGGTTGTTGCTCTCAGGGTGGATGACAAACTTCCTTGGAGTGTACTGCAGGGGAAATGCTACCTGGTTGAAGACAGCACCGAGCTTCTCCAAAGCCAAAATCCTAGAGAGAAAGACAGGGTAGCTCATGAACGGGTGACCCACTCAAAAGGAACACATGCCCAGAAACGGGTTGGGATAGACCCAGATCTATCAAAGCCGAGGCCCTGCATTTATGCCTGTCTCTAGTGCTAGCAATAAGTAACACAAACCAATAAAGGATCCTGGATAAGGGAGATGTGGCTATCCAAGGGATCACATGTACAGAACCCACACATCACTGCAGTGGGACCATCCCATGTCTGGCAGCTGCCTCTCCGGTCCCTCTGCTCCATGGGAGTCTCTTTCTTGCCCAAGGCCATGATAATTGCCTCTTAGGTTGGAATATTTTCCTCACCACTACAAATACACACCGAAACTCAAAGAACCCATTCTGAAACTGATCTTAACTGGTAAGGTGACCTGAGAACACTTTAACATTTGTGCTGATCACAACTCCTAATATAATTAGTGGGTTCTTCACTAAAGTCAAACTACTCCAGCTTTGGGACATCAGCCATCAATGACACAGGGGAACCGCCAACTTGGAGGACAGAAACATGAGGGTGGGTGAGCCTGACCATCTTTTTGACAAGTAACAGAACAAAAGGACACACTTTTAACAGTAAGCATTCATTCTGGAACTCAGGAATCAGCCCAAGGGAAGCATAGACCTAATTCTCCATTAGCACTCTCGTATGCCCTAAAGACAAAAGGGCACTAGACTTGGGCAAGTTCTCCTCACTCTGATGCACAAGGACACTTAAACTGGGCTGATTCCCTACTCAAGTCATCCTCACATTCCCTGTCAGCCTTCATGGGCCTCACTCCAGGCTTGATGACTCATCTATCACCTCAAACAGTCCTGCAATCTTGCTATTGCAAATATCCAAACCTTTGCTCTATGCTAAACTGCAAACACAGATATTTATGTCACTCAAACAGGACTAAGAAACCCCACTTCTGAGAGTTATCCGTGTGTGTGTGTGTGTGTGTGTATACATGCATATATATTTGACCTATTTCGCCTCAACTGGGTGCATAGCACCATGCAAAAATAAAACACACAAAAACATTTTCCCACTAACAGTGCAGTCATCTCTTCAGATTAAGCCAATGAGCTTTTTTCTAGTCAAAGGGCTCTTTAAAGGGACAGATCAAGACTCTATCCCCATGTTCCTTCTTCTAGTTATAATTTCAGTAAATCACATTCCACTGAATTTCCAAACTTGTGCTACCCCTTCCTCTCCCAAAGACCTAATGAGGTTAATTCCTCCATCACCACGTATATAAGAACATGACAAAGAAACAGCACTGCCAACCAATTCCAAAAGCCACCTTATTTCCAGTTCTTACAGCCTCTTGCATAACTCCTCTGCACCCACTGAGGAATGGGCAAGGGAGGGATAGAAATGATCCAACTCCATCAGTCTACAGTTGTTTAGAAAGCACAGTAGCTTTGGCTTAATAGAAAAGCGATCACATGAGGAAGACCAAGGCTTTCCAAGAACAATTCCAGGGCTCATTCTCTCTTTTAATTCTGTTGCTGTCGGTTTCTAATGACAAGTGTCCTCATGACCCAAGCAAGAGACAACTGTCCCAACTTGCATTAACTCTGTGTGAGTCTTTTCATTCAACAAAACTAAGTGCTAACTACATGTAAAAATCTGTTATCAAGTGCTTTGGGGAAACAAAAACACGCAAGAAATTGTTCTCCTCAAAGAGCTTAGGACTCAATGGGGTAAAGACACATATATACATAACAACGGGGGACATACATGAAGTGCCATTCAATTGGTTACAGGAGTTCAGATGGAGACACTCTGGCTAGAGTAATCTGGAAAGGCTCCAGGAAGGAAGCGCGAGCTGGGCCTTTAGAGATAGTTAGAATTTCAGTAAGTGAGTTGAGGAAATTCCTAGTAGAAGGGATGGCATAAGCAAAGATACCGAAGGCAAGAAAGCATGGCATGGCCAAGGGATGGTGATTAGACCATTTTATCTCTGGTGGTTAGTGTTTACATAGGGATACAATGATAGATGTGCTTGAAAAGATGGGTAAGGGCTAGATTGTAGAATGGCTTTAATGCCAAGCTAATGAGTTTGGCCTTTAATCAGCAGGCAATGGGGAGCCATTATTAGATTCCAGAAGGAACGGACTGCCTTGATAAAAACTAAAATTTGGCTCTAGGATGCTAAATAAAACCCAAACTCCAAATATTGAAACTTGGCTCCAAGACACTAGAATTTCTGAAGAGCCAAACCTCTAAGAGTTTCAACTACATCAACGGACACTGGGAAACAAATGCCCCTAAATATTATCTTCTTCAGACACTCTAAGTGTACCAACATTGTGGTAAATTACCTCCTTGGTACTTCTGTTAGGTTGCAAAACTCACCTTAAAGTGTTGGTGGAGATGGCCACAATGCCCTCAGGACACTGCTCAGATGCAAACCCAGATGCAAATTCCAGGGTCTCATAGGACAGAGGCGTCAGATGAAAGCGGGACTGGTAAGAATAGCTCAGCCACGAGCGACTTGACATAGCCAAAACCTGAATGAAGAAGTGTCCACTCTGAGCACCAGTCACACTTAATGCCAGGGTAAGTTGCTGTTAACTTTGCTATAAATATTGAAGCAGCAGCTCAAGCAGATGATGGTAGAATTTACTACACAATTTTATAAAACCTTGAAGAACGTCCAAAAGTGAAAGAGAGCCCTATGAAAGACACCTAGGCCTTTATGTCCTATGTCTTTCTCATATTCCTGAAGGAGCCTGCTAAAGACAAGAAAAACTACCCCAACACCAGCTCTTTGCTTACAAGTAGAATGGGATATGGGGCATTCCTGGAGGCTGCAGGTATTCAGGGACATGTTCTCTCATCTTCTACTTTTCATGGTGCCCTTTTATACCAGCAGGCTTGACTGCTGCTTCACTTACCGCTTCCTGGCCCTGCATCCGGACTCGGAAAAGCTTCACGGGGCGAGAGCCCAAGTATCTCGTACGGGTGTCAGACAGATCACCAGTGACAGGGTCTAGGACAGTCCTTAACAGCACACCATTCTGAGCACAAGAGTGGAGGAGAGGAGCAGTTTGTGGTTATAGCAAAAAGAACCTCGCATGATCTGTGGTGACACAAGAAAACTCATTTTGGGCAAGTTTCTCTGCAGACCCTGGCCTCACCTTGGAGCTTATTTGCTTAGTTATTTCTCTAAGAGAGAAAACAGACCAGCTGGGATGAAGACACAGGCTCTGCTCTTCCTGCTCACAGGCGCACTCACCCAGCTGACAGACCAGGGCCCTGGATTAGGCAGGACGGCCCAACAAACGAATTTTCAAGACATTTGGGGCAATTTAATTTCGTGCACTATCCTTTCTCCTTGGGCAGGGAGGCCTGCTACACACTCTGGGAACAGCTAGTTTAACAACCCAGCTATAAGGCAACTTGTTCTACAAGTCCATCCACAACCAGGGGGCCTGGCTCCAAATGCTGGTGTGGGAACTCTGAAAGGGTCCCTCTGACCTGACCAGTGACCCAAAAACATTTCCAGTAGATGTTTTTAAAACAGACTTCTTTTAACGGAGTGCCAAACTTCACAAATGCAAGCCTGCATCCTGGAGCTACTCTCTGCAGACTGGCTGGAGATCAGAAAAGGGAATCCACAAAGGAGCCCTCCTAAGCTATGACCTAAGTTTCTCCACCCTCTTCAGCTGAGTTACCAACCCCTAGTGTAGTGACGGGTCACAGGAGACACAGTTAAATAAAGCGAACACGAGCAACTATCAAAGTGCTTGAGGACATGCATTCTAAGCCATCCCCTTACCTGAAGCCCGATGTTTAGATAGAGGAAGCCAATGGACCCCCTTTCCCCTAGCTCATCTTGCTTCTCGGCCCCGCCCATCTCAACAATACACAGCGACTCTGGTTGGGCTGGGAGGGCCTGCATGCTCAGTGGCTGGAGGCAGTCCTAGAGGAGATAGAAAGGACAGGATGAGTCCGGATGTCAAGGAATGACTCACTTGGGACCATGTCCAGAGAAAGTCTGAGGCTCTCTGGCCCGCTTAGGAAGCCTTCCAAGGAAAAAATAGGGCTGAGAAAATCCTGGCTTCTTTTTGCTTAAGGACTAGTGACTAAGCTAACCAACATGAGGGTGCTAGGGACCTGCAAGCTTCCCAGTTCCCTATAAAGATACAGGCTTCTTGCTACCTGTAAAAAGCTATCAGGATGGAGCTAGGCTAACAAAGACACCATAAACTCTTTTTCACTCTAACCCACATCAACATCATGATCCACTCCACACTGGACCCTAGGGAGGTCTATACCCCTAATGGAAAATCAGATTTGGGGCGACCCCTTCAGTCAAAGCTCCAATCTACTCTGGAGACATGGAAGTCACTCACCGAAGGGTCCAAAGAGATGATTCGAACAGTGTTGTCTACCAGCCCCACAGCCAGGAAACGAGAGCGTTGCTCCCCAGGAGGCACGTTGGCCAAACTCATGCATACCACGTCTGCAGACATCTCCTTTCGTTCAGTGTACTCATTCAGCTGTCCTGACTGCAGACATAAGGACAGGGAAATATCACTACCTGCATATGGGGACAGAGGAATATTCTCGCCATAACCATACCCAAGATTTAATCAGCACAGAGGTTTGGTACCATTGATACCCACTGACATTAGGTTCAAGCTCTCTGACAGACATTCATTTTCCCATAAATTACACTAACCAAAAATGGACACAATGATCATCAAAAGACCTACAAGTCTGGGGTCCTAAGACAAAAAAACAAAGAAAAACAAAACAACAATATAACAACAACAAAAAACTCAACCTCTGGGCAAACTGCGATTTTAAGGCTTGATTTTTAAAGAAAATTAGCAAAAGATTTATAGACAAACAAAGCAGTGTATACTGTGAAGTAGCCACATCCACACACTGTAGCCCTCAAAGGAAATAAGAATTACCAACTTCCTTTTTTTTGGGGGGAAGGATTATTGTGAGAAGTGGGCCCACGCTACAGAAATTAAATGTTGCATCCTTACAAAAGGCTCATATATTTGAGGAGAAGAGGGCAAAAGTCAAACTCAAGGGAAGCATGGTATGAAGCTGTTCAAGGTGCTGACTTCTCTAAAGCTGGCAAGAACCAGATGGAAGCTGCACACTTTCGTTTGGATTCCCAGAAAGGTTTCCGTAGAAACCTTCTAATCAGGAGGAGTCCAGGGCGAGCGGGGTTCCAGCCACTCACCCTCCTGAGTTCTCTTCTCTTGTAGCCAGCTGCCTAAGCAGCCTGGAACCAAGGCCCACAACCCTGACAGCAGGTGTCCTACACTAAGTCCTATCTGAGAAGGTGAATGGCGGTGGTCAAGCAACCTACAGGATCCATCTCAAAGTAGACTAGCTCTCCTCCTGTCAGTGCGATCACCACCTGCCGCTGGTTTACTGCACACTTCACAATAGTTTTCTTTCCCGGGGTCTTCCACTCATTTACTCTCTTATCTGCTCGGATGTGCCGGATGCCATCTGGATATACCTGGAAGCAAGAGCAAAAGGGAAACACATTTTAAAGTCACTCTGGCCACTGCCCAAAACAATCCCCAATACCAGGACTGCCAACTCAGGCCAATAACTTCTGAAGTTATAAAAGCAGGGCTCATAGGCCCCAAAGGAAGTCAAGTGTCAAATCACAGTTTATATTTTGCATGCCCAAGTTGAGATATTCAAATCTAATTATCTAAAACATTCTTAAAAATAAGTAAATAAATGAAAAATAAAACATTCTTACAAAGTCCTCCTGAGATGAGGATAGTTTAATAGATAAGAGTAATTGAGGCCTCGAGAAAAATTCCTGGTCCAAAATCTGAGTGATTAATATCTCAGAGTTTAAAATTTGATACAGTATTCTCTCTTAGCCTGGTCTACTCTCCAGCAAGTCTTCAAAATCTGTGCCCCAAATTGGAGTGACAAGGGCACAGAACAAATGGATTTGTCCTCAAGTTTCCGAGTTTCCTCACCTGCACCAAAGCATCATCTCCTAACAAGGAACAGGACAAGGTTGGAGTGGTACCCAGGAAGCCAGAATCTGTCACTTCTTCTACAGTCTCTCCAATAGAAAGTACCAGGGTGGCATTCACGAAAGACACGATGATATAGGCATCAAATTCATCTAAGGAAGGAAGGAGAAGGAAGAGGGCAGACAGTTAGTTTGATGCAGACAACATCTGTAACCCCAAATGAATACATACACAACATAAAGAGCTCCTCTTCCAGCAACCTGTCAAGAGCACAGCTCTTAGTATCTGTGGTCATCAGTACACAATTAAAATATTAAGTAGCACAAGATAACCAGGAGCAGATCATCAAAACGATGGAGACTATGCAAGAATCTGGGGAACACTGCTTCCAAAGTGACCCGATTTTCTCAATCTGAGCAAAGGCATCTCAGGCAAAGGAAATTTATTGATATTTGCCTCCAATGCCACTGAAAACTAACACCTCCCCAGATACGGCTGCTTACTATTGACACAGGGCTCTGGTGAGAAAAAAGAGTAACAATGGCTTAAAGGAACTGTAAAGCAACCCACTTTCCACACAGTAAACAGGGATCACGTCTTTTTACTGGCTACCAAGTAAGAGCTCATTCCACAGGAGAAATAGTTAGATTCAGGAAGGATTCCATATTACTTTTCTCCATAGAAGCTAAGTAGAGTACTTCATGAGAACATAATCTTAAAGGGCAGGAGAGAACAAGTAAATCAGTAATGGAAAGACTGCCAGTCTCTTCCAGGAGGAACGATATGGCAACACTGGTTGACTGGGGTCACAGAAGGAGTTTGTACTGTTAGTCCTTGACCTCTCCAGGAAATAAAATTAGGATTTTTCACTATTAAAAAAACAAAACAAAACAAAAACCAAAAACGACCTACTGCCCCAGACCAAGGCTACCAGGACAATTTTCCTTTAGAGAAATGCAGTTGAATAAACAAACACTAATGAGATTCTTCGGGAGGTCAGAGACCTTTACACACACACACACACACACACTCACTCCAAAAGAACGCTCCTTCATGCAATCCAGCAAGTTATAGGCCACTGGTTTCCCACCCATTCAGCTGTTCGTAACTGAAAACACAGAAGACCTAAACAATTTTGTACAAAGACATGTCTTTTAAATAATAGTTGAGATATTTTTCTTTTTCACAAGGACCTTATCCTTTTGACAGATAAATAAGAAAGCACTGAGGCAGGGGTATAGTATAATCAGAGTAGCTAGTGAACAACTAAAGTTGAATTGTCTGGGCACTTTTCAGACCACCTTGACCAACTTTATCATTTGAAGATGACCCTCCTGGGGCAGCTAGGTGGCACAGTGGATAGAGTGCTGGCCCTGGATTCAGGAGGACCTGAGTTCAAATCCGGCCTCAGACACATAACACTTACTAGCTGTGTGACCCTGGGCAAGTCACTTAACCCCATTGCCCAGCCAAAAAAAAAAAAAAAAAAAGATGACCCTCCTAACAACAGTGCACATACTTACAATAGCTTTTCCATCAGTGATGAGGGGCTGCACTGAGCCATCCACATTACCATCCAATCTACTTTCTAATCAACAAGAAGCACTTCTGAGATGGCCAGCTAGGAAACGCTGACTGTGTCTAACAGACAGTTTTCCTCTACGAGCGGGTTACCTGGGTCATATTTGTACCAAACCCCCAACACTGGTCTCTGTAGAACTCTGTTCATGTCACCTGAGCTAATGTTACTCCCAAGACAACTGAGTGTACTGATTAGAGTACTGGAACCTAGGGTAGTTTCTACTACTTACTACCTGCGGGAGGTCAGGCAATCTCTACCTTCTCCGGGCTTTGGCTTCCTCACTTGTAAAATGAGGAAACTGGACCACATGGTTGTCAGGGTCCCTTCCAGTTCTAGATTCCATGCATACAAGCCAAGTTTTGTATTTGACAGACAGACTAATAGGAAAAAAATGACAGATCTTCTGTTCCACGCATACACATTTAAGTATATGGAGAAGGAAAATTATTCATACAAGAAATCTATGAATATGACATTCATGACTCAGTATCATCAGCTACAACTGCAAGGAAAATTCTGAAGTCTCTTTCCCAGAGAGTACTGTCTGTGGTTAGACCAGAAACCTACAGACTTACTTCTTTCTAACACAACACTAAGAATGAATGGCCTTGGACAAATAACTAACTACATTTCAGTACCTCTGATTAAGTGGAGACAGATGCCAGATGCTTTGAGAGCTTCACATGACCAAACTATTCCAAGTATGAAATATCTTATAAGGACAGGATTTTCCTCCATTCTGCTTTTAAAAGCAAAGGACGCATTCAAAGTCCAACTCTATTTAGCACACGCCTGATGAACCTGGCTACATGTAAACCTTGAGAATTCTTCCTTGGTCAGAGCTTCCTGGCACACTTTTAAAAGCTCTTGTATGTGCTTGGAATGGCTTAATTAAAAACAAGATTGACATTTTCTTTTTTCTAGTTAATGGCAATTAATCCTAAAGGAGCAGTGTGTCCAAGTAAATGAAAGAAATTAAAGAGCTCTAATTGGGTAGGATTTCTAATCATGTGACTGGGCTTAGTAAAAGTCCATTCCATGAAAGTAAAAGGAACCGCATCTTTGTTGCGAAAGGGACAAAGCCCACTCAGCGCACAACAGAGCTAAACACAGAATCAGAAGCCTGGCTCCAGGACTGAGGTCTCATGCCACATGGATGGTGCCACCGCTGCCAAGCCTTTATACTCCCGCTAGTAAATTCAGTAAGCTCAGGACATTTAATTGGTATCGAAGCAGAGACCACTGCTTTCCCCACTACAAAAGAAGGCCCCTTCCACATTCCTGACACTGAATGCCATGAGAAACAGCCCCCACACCCTCAACTATAGCCAAGAAGAGCTAGAGCAGTTCCCTGCCCTCAGCTGCTCCAAAGTAACAGTTAAATTTTTGTAAAAGAACATGCTTCATTCACAACGGCCGACCACGAATATTTGTTACCCTGCTCGATGGGATTAATATTAACCAACTAATCAAGCCTGTTCACCTGCACAGTTCATAGGCCCAGTTAAACTTCTAAGTCCCAAACAGAAATTTACTCAAGCCAACTCGCTGACCCTATAAGGGCCAGCTTTTAAGGAGGAAAACTCTTAAGCACAAGAAGGCATTTGGGACTACCTGCCAGCTCCCTGTCCAGATTCTGGCTGAGACCTTGTCACACAGGCTGGTGGAAAAGACTTTAGTCTCTCTTTGAGCTGCAGGAGACACTGCCAACGTGAAATGCTCACGACTGCCCTCTGCCCAGAGGCTTCGGCTGAGCACTGAAGACAAGAATGGAAATACCCAAACCCCTCTCACCCTCTCTTGGACAACCACATCAACTGCACATTCTGCTTTTCAATTAAATAATCTGCTACCATGCTGCTCTTTCCTCCTCTGCTTCAACCAAGTCCCTAATACACCCAACAAGTCTGCTCCGGGGATCAATTTTTCAGCCTGTGCCAATTACAAAGTATTTACAAAGAGTAAACCGGATGTTTTCTAGATTACGTTTTTTAGGGTTAGTGGGACAGCCAGATGAATCATGGTTCCTAAAAGCTGTGAGAGAAGGAGGAAGTAGAAGACAACTAATGTCTGCCTCTGACCACTGAAGATCTGGGCAGGTGGGTTCACAGTATCATTACAACAGACGGCTGTCCAGCTGCAAAGTCACTCTCTGGGAGCTGCTCTGCTGGCAGGGCAGCCCCAGTACTTTTTGCATGTTCCTCTCCCTGGGGAGCCTGTGAGAGCCCACAGCAGACCCTAGCCGTAGGTACACACCTGTGGTGATCAGCACCTCCGCCAGCCACCTGCGGAAGAGAAAAAAAGGCTCGGTATTGGTAGTGTGTATCACCAAGTACCAGCCAGGGTTAGTGTTTGCCATGACGACTGCAGCATGTGGCACAGCAACACAACTATAGCCTGGGGTTTCCGGAGAAAAAGAGCCTGTATGGATAACACTTTTGTTTCATTTTTGGTTTTCAACCACAAGTGAGCCGAAGGATCATTCCCACACCGTGCTGGTCTCTCTTCAGCTTCTGAATCCTCAGAGCCCTCAAGACTCCTCTTACGGGAGGTACCACACGTGGCCTTGTGTTATGTATCGTCTTATTTCTCCCTCAATGGACTCTGGGTTCTGTAAAGAGCGGGGCCTAAGTCTCCTTCATGTTTCTAACTTCCACAGTGCCTACGAGAGAGCACTGTACATAGCATGTATCTGCTGAACCAATGAACTCATGAATAAACTGCACATACTATGGATTCACTAAACCAATGAATTCATAAAGCCTTGTCATCACAGGCAGGAAGGAATCAGAACTTCCCATGTTATTTACTGGGAGAGGGCTCAGGACTCACAGTCTTGTCCAAATTTACCATAACTAATATCCTTCTCCCACAAATCCCCACATCTTAGTGATCTGGGTCAGGTCAAGATAGTGTAATCTCTCACACAGTACTTTTCAAAAAACCTGCAATACCAGAAAGTCACCAAGTCAAAGGAATGGGTTTTCTTGTTGCCTTGAATTCACTTCAAGGGGCATTACAAACAGCATTATAATGGTTTTGGAAATTCCTAGAAAGTCTGAAAATTAGTAAAGTAATTCACCATGGTCCTGCTGCTTTCTTTCATGTCCCAAGCAATTTCTTATCATATCTACATTAAGTAGCCAAGAGAGAAGTGTAACAACAATACAATCTGAAACCAGACACTGAAGAAGGAAACGTCGTCCCTCCTGGCTAGAAGTGCGTTAAGTATTTTCCTCATGACAACCCCATGAGGTAGACACAGTGCAAGCAGAGATGAAGGGACAAGCTCGGAGAGGCTGTGATTTGCTCCCTCCAAGAGTGACAAAAGGGCAAAGCTGAGGCTCACACACTCAGCTGTGGTAACACTCCACCACCCCATGCTGCCTGCCTATTCTCTCACCTAGCAGCTAAGTTCTCCCTCCACAAAAGGAGTGAACAACCCCAGAAAGAATTCTACCTCACTCATCCCTCAGGACAGTATTCCCATGAGGTGGTCCATTAGGGACAGCTTGAGAGAACAGGTGGGTAACAAAAGAAAACAGGAAGATTTGGATTCAAGTCCCCGGGGCCAGAAACTCCTAGGAACAAGCTCTATCAGTACTACTGCCTCTTCCTTCCTGTTCAACCTCTGGGCAAGGAGCAATGGTGAAGAGCACCTTCCATAAGGGGTCTCAGTTTTCAGCCAAACCATTAGGTCTTTCCCCACTCTCAGCAGAATGTTCTGTTCAGAGTCTGGTTTTCTGAAATATAACCATTCCGGCCGAGCCAAACTGACTCTTGGAAGCTCCGCCCACTTGTCAAGTCACTACTGTCTATCAGGCACATTTTGCTTTGATGGCCAAATAATGGTTATCAAAACAGGAAATGAGGAGGAGAGGCAACTATTGCCTTGGAGCTGAAATTTGAGGTAAAGGAAAATATACTGGGATGTATCTCACTGGAACCTGGGGGATCCATCCCTGCAGGGAACACTGTCTGGTGCAATGAGTAATGTCCTGCATACCGCTGTGTGGCATTAACAGGTGGCTACTCCCTTCCTAGCCACTAGAAAGCATCTTGTCTAAGCAATCTCCAATTACTGTGGGAGCTGCCTCAAGACAGAAAAGTCAGAACATGAAAAGACTACAGATGGTGTTGGGTCAAGTGACAATCAGAAGCATCATAACTGCAGCCTTTTAGGGTTGCGGGCCTTTGCACAAGGGATTGTATTTGGCTACTGGGAAAAAGTTACCTACCTTCAATGTGACGCCGGACAGTCCAGACAGCATTGGGGTTACCAGGCAGCTCAGAGACAGCCATTTCTGACACCTGGCAGAAAAAGAGATAAAGACTGAATCTGGCCAAAAGGAGGATGGTCTTGCTGCCCACTGACTGGACAGCAAACACTCAAGGTCAACTCTCAGGGATCTTCTCTGTAATTGCCAGGAGTGTTTCTGAGTGCAGACAAAGAAAGGCAAGACACAGAGAACCCAAGAGAGAATGAACTGGTATCACTACGGCGGTTAATATCGGGACTCACTATTAACTTTTTCTTCTGCTGGGCTGCTCAAAAGTAACACATACGAACAGTACCATAATGCTTTCCCCCCTAATTATGAAGTAGAGGGAGCCTTGGCTTCTCAAAGGCCACCAATAACATGTTCTGAAAGGCCAGCTAAGCTGGAAAGCTTGAGTACAGGCCTAACCATGGCTTTTGTCCATCAGGTGAAAACCAAAGTAGCTACATTCAGAAATTCAGCACCATCAGCTTAGCTACCAAAAAAAAAAAAGACTATCTGGGGCAAAAGTAACTCACAAAGACTATCTAGAAGGACTGTGACCTGTTAGAGGGAGGAGCATCCTTAGAGCAATGACATATGCTCAACAGAGGTTCTTTAAAAAATTAAATGTAGCAAATAAGTGATTTTTATCTGTTCTCTCCACCAGAGGTGTCGAACACTATCGGCCACATATAACTCACAACACTGCCCAGTGCAGTCCAAACTAGATAAAATGCAGTTCCTATCTGATTTTAATGTGTTGATGTATTAATAATAATAAAAAAACCCATAAATGTGTGCCTCCCATTTCTCTACGGTTTTGACCCCAACTACTCTATACTAACTTCTAGAAAACCAAGGGAGGTACCCTAGGTCTTAAGGCCTCCAAGAGGAAAAAAAAAGCCTGGGGTCATTGAGACAGTGGTATGAAAATACAACATATTGACTACTAAGCACTAACATGACTAAGTCCATTTTGAATGCCACAGGAAGAATTCCAACCTCCTTACACATAACATCTAGCCAGAGGGGCGGCTCACAGTGCACAAGATGATGCTGAAAAATGTCATCAGGAGCACTAAGTCAACAGACTAAGTCCAGGACCAGATTTAATTCCCGAGTTAAAGACCTGGCACAGTAGGAGAACAACCTCATCACAGACAATACTAAAGAGGCTTAAGTTATGTTTAAATTTAGAGGTAGAACAGAAGGACGGCAGGATTGGAAATAAGCTGAAGTGACAAAATGAGGGAGGGGACTAATGATAAACATGGACCTAAAAGGTAGGTAGGAAAATGTTATGGATAGAAGACCATACATAAAGCCAATGAACATCAGCAGCCTGCTGAAAGGTTTTACAAATTCAAAAAATATTTCATTTTTTCTGGAAGACTAAGACCCAAAACTCGACACATGTATATATTCCACCACAGTGGAACCAATTCAAGTAACCCTTTCTAAAAAGAATCACCTGCCCAGAGGGCAATCAAGATGTACACACCCTTTGACCCAGCAATACCATTTCTAGGTCTATATCCCAAAGAGATCACACAAATGGGAAAAGGACCCACATGTACAAAATTATTTATAGCAGCTCTTTTTGTGGTGGCAAAGAATTAGAAATTGAGAGGATGCCAATCAACTGAGGAATGGCTGAGCAGGTTGCTGTATCTAAGTGTGATGGAATACTATTGTGCTATAAGAAATAATGAGCAGGCACACTTTAGAAAAACCTGGAAAGACTTGTATGGACTGATGCTGAGTGAAGTGAGCAGAACCAGGAAAATGCTGTACACAGTAACAGCCACATTGTGTGACAAATGACTAACATTGACAGACTTAGTACTTTTCAGCATCTCCAAAGGTCTCATGATGGAAAAGGCTACCCACATCCAGAGAAAAAACTACGTAGTCTGAATGCAAATTGAGGCATACTATTTACTTTTTTACTTTTTTTTTTCTTATTTTGTTTCTTCTTTCTTGTGGTTCTTCCTATTGGTTCCAATTCTTCTTTATAACATGACTAATGTGAAAATATGTTTAATAAGAATGTATATGTAGAGTCTACATCAGATTGTACATCGTCTTAGGGAGGGAGGGGGAGAAAATTTTAAACTCAAAAGCTTATGGAAGTGAATATTGGGAAAAAAACCCTCAAAAAGAATCACCAACAGAAGGATGACTTAGGGCTCTTAATGACATTTTCCAGGGTCATCATCTTGTGGAGCATGAACCACCCGTCTGGCTAAATATTATGTAAGGATGCAGTTGGAATTCTTCCTGTAGCATTCAGAATGGACTTAGAGATGTTAGTGCTTAGTAGTCAAATTTTCACACCACTGTCTCATTGACCCCAGGCTTTTTTTCCCTTGTAGGCCTTAGACCTAGGGAAACCTCTGGTTTTTGGAGAAGTTAGTGTAGAGCAGGGGTGTCAAACTCAGATAGAAATGGGATAAGACAGGGCTGGAAGAGATCATTCACCTGGAAAATAGCATTTTTTTTCTTTTTGCACAACAGACCAAATCCTAACTCTCCTGACTACAACCAGAGTAAAAGTATATTCTGTCACAGTGTTATCCCATGATCCCATCAAATAAGCTGGCAATCCACCTTACCTCTAGTCCATGTCTTAAAACCCTTAGAGAAGATCGTGGGCCCCTGCCACAAGCTACATACAGCTGTGGGGTGTCTTCATTGGCAAGATCAGCAATCTGCACAAAGTGACACAGTTAGGATATACCTTTCAGGATATACTTCTCTGACTATCACCCAAACCAAACAGGGTCAAGTTGACTCAGCTAGAGCTAAACTGACATGATTTCACTGTTGTAATATGGTTCCCCTAGCTCCCAAAAGGCAACACCCATTTTGGAGTGGAAGGAGAGACCCTTTCACTGAAAATGTCTTCAATTTCTGTGACCAGCACAAATTCTTCATTCAGTCAACTACAGGATAAAACTGAACACAGCCTGCTCAGAGATTCTCAATTACCTGAGGTTTAGAGAAATTCCCTCCAATCTAGGGTATGCTACACTTTACTAAGGTACTTTTTTCCTTCCTTTATTAAGTCTCCATTCATTCCTTTCAACTACAAAACTATCCAAAGTGGATTTAAAGCAGAAAATTATTTTCTCCAAGTCACTGAAGGAAAAAAAAAACTAATTGGCTAAATGGGAACAGTGGTCCTTGGTGTCATTTTCTGTTGCTCTCAGGTCTATCCCTTTCTCAAGAGGGAAAATAAGAGTCTACATTAAAACACACACAAACTTAGAAACTCTTTCTAGACCTCTTTGAAATCAATGTTCTGGACCAAACATTAACCATGTCTTGATTATCTTGGTAAAACCTGACTTGGTATCTCATAACTTTAATTTTGAATGCTAGAAAATTCCACTTTTGAAGCACCTCTATAAGAACCAAAACTTTCCCCAGTAGTTGTCTGTGTCCCTCCCCTGGGAAATGATTATTTCTAGGGAATGACATTCAATTTTTTAAAAATTGCATATTAAATGCCTACTATGTGCAAGATACTGGGTATGAGATTCAAAAAATTTCTGCCCTCAAGAAGCTTCTATACAATTAGAAGCAATGATAAATCTACATGTGTGTGTGCATACAGGTACATGCGCACACACATACTCTCTCCTCCCACCCCACACCCCCAGTAGTTTAAAGGGTTATTTAAAGGAGGGTTCAAAATTCTAAGTAAGCCCCTCAAAGCAACACTGCCATGCTCCCTAGAAGAGTACCTACAGTTTTTTCCCCCTTAAGAAAGGCTTCTTGAAGTCTTGCATATCCCAACCTAGCGAGGGAAAAAAATGTGCATGTCCACCCGAGCTGGTGGTGCTTCCCCCCCACACACTCAGGACAGAAGAGGAGGATTGGGTGGTACCTGACAAAAGAGAATAGGGGAGAGACTATCCAGCTCATCCACCAACACTAAGTTCTTGAGAGGCCGGGGCTGGAAGAAGAACGTATCTCCTTCTTCCAGGGGCATGGCCGAGGAGAACTCGGGCTCTTCATCATCATCGCCAAGATGAGCAATTTGATACAGGTAACTGTGGAGGAAGAAGAATCAAAATTTGGTTACGGCATTTGCTAGAAAATGGGAAGAAGAGCAAAAACACCTTCTCGCTCCATAAACGTCCTGTGTTACTTCAGCAGAGATTGCTCTGTGGGGCTAGAAAAAGCTCTGCTTCTCAGGATTTGGTCTTCTTCATTATCATTAAGCAGAGCAGAAGGAATTTTTGTACTCTTTGAAAAGTATAGTAAAATCAAAGAAGGAAATAGTGATAGTTTTAAAGGTTGAATAAATGTGACACATATAATCTTAGTGAAGCAGAATGAATAAAAGAAATCCAAAGGACGGCCAGACTCTCATTCTAGTCATTATTCTCCCCTTCCACATATTCCCTACAGGGCCCTATAAATTAATTTACTTTGCAAAACAAAAGTCTGGAATGGAGAACTGGGAAGTGACCAGGTGTAACAAGGTTAATTCAACCTGCTAATAAGCACCATGACTGATTTACCCTTACCCTACCAGCCTAATTAATAGATGGTGTATCGGTTTGAGGGCAAACCAACAAAAGGAAGGGAAAACAACAGAAGACAACTAGAATTGAATTGCCAATAGCAACATTCTCTAACTTCAGGCTACAAAGATGAAATGCACTTAGAACCCACAAGAAGCAAAGAGGTCAACTAAGTCAAATATCAAGCCCCCAAATCAAACAAATAATTAGTAAATCTAAATCCCAGATTACTAAACCCTAGGCTAGTATAATAGAAAAGGCTCCCAGCTAACTCACATACAAGATACATTCAGAACAGGCTGGGTCCTCAATAACTCAATTTGCGCAATAAGAAGACACAGGAAGATTTCTGAACTCTGACCTTATTTAATGAAAAGCTTCATTTTAGAAGATTAACTTCAAGTCTGTGCTCCTGATGGATTAGAGATGAGACAATGAAAACAGTTAAGAGGGTCCACTGCAATGGTCTAGGCAACAGACACTACAAAGAGCTGGCAGGTACTGATCAATTTCTTCTCATTCTTAATGCCACATGCATTTCTACAGAGGTTTGGAAACCAGGTTAGTGGGAGAGAACTGGCATGTTATTCACAGAAATGGTAAAGTTAGGAGGAATCGATCTGGAGGGAAAGCTCACTACAACATAGATGTGAAGCTGCAAAAGACCTTAGAGATCAGACTCATTTTTCAGATGAGGAAACTGAAGAGAGAATAAGTGACTTGTACAAGATCACATAAGAAATAATTTTGGTTTAGCCAAACAAGACACCCTAGTAAAAAGTATTTCAATGAATGCTGACTGAAGGAATGAAATCATAGAAAAAGTATAGACAAAAGCTAAAGGTCAGAACCTGGAAGAATGCCCATAGTTAGAGATGATGATGACAAGGAGCCATGAAGGACATGTCAGAGAGGGAGCAGTAACACGAGGAATTCAAGGAGGAGCCTGTAGTAAGGATTAAATGGTACAAAGATAAAGACTGAGAAAAGGCCATTGGAATGAGTGAGTCAGAGGCTAATGATGACTTAAAACTGTAGTAAAGGGTTATCCATCTATAAGCTTTGCAACCGTCCTTGACCACAATCTTCTCTGGTAAAACTGATCAAATAGGGTAAGAGTTACTCACTGATTTCCAAATTCGGATGCCACAAAGAGGAAGCCTGTTTTGAGCACGCACATAGCAGCAGCCACAGGGACAGTATCAAAATACTTCAGTCGGATCTCAGTAACCTAAAAGGATAAAACAGAAATGTGTGACACGTTAGGGGACCACTTGGGGGTTTTACATCAAGTGTATGTTATGAAAAAATTCAGTAGCACCCAAAATACTAGGAGGTTGAAATGAAGATCAAACAATTCTTCCAGCTATTACATGGTGCATGCCACCACCCTCTTTCTACCCAACATAAAATGAAGTAGAGAGAGGCAGCTCTCTGCTTCAATTAACTTCTATAAATCTGACAATCTTCATCCAGAAACAGATGTCTAAACAGACATCCCAACTCAACAGAGAATGAACTAGCTACATAAGCTTCAATGAAGGGAAAGATATAATCAAGATGCAGGAGGACGTGACAAAAAACACCTTAGCCAAGCACATTCATCACGTACATTTACTCCAAGAGATAAAAATGACATCTCACTCCCTTCTTAATCTACTTACCATGTCTTCATCTGTCTCCAAAGTGATTTTGAAAATGTCTCCTTGCTCAGTTTGTGCCAAAAAGAAGAACATAGACTTGGTCTTATGGGTGGCAGAGCAGACAAAAATCATTCCTCTCTCAGGGTCATCCAAGTCATTCTAACAAAGGCAAACAAACAACCAACCAAGATCTTAGAAATGATACTTTTCCTCTCAGAAGAATAACAGGTCTGAAACAGAGGCCAACATTTTAGCCACAGCAAATACTACTTTGGAGAAGGAAAACAAAGCAAGTATCTACCTTTTCAAAAAACAACTCCTGAACATCTTCTAGAAAAGCAGCTGAATTCTAACTCTACTGCCCCACGTCACCAATAGCTGCCTCAACAATATTACTTATAAAGACTGTGGCCAGTGTGTCATTTTGTAACAACTCAACCATATTTGGGCCTCAGAGCCTGATCAGATTCAGAGAGGTAAGTTTTTGTCTCCAGGGAAAAAAAATTCAGAAAATCATCATGAAATTCATCATTTCAGGCAAAGAGCAAAGCCATCATATACAACTGGCTTATGACACAAGGCATTATTATCTATCAATCATCTAGCTATTACTTCTTTTACTTTCTCCTCCCCCAAGTTCTGGATGTTATTGTTGGTGAGAATTTATATCTCATTAAATTTTTTTCAAATTTCCCCAACTAAGTTCCCTTCACCCACACCGAAATCCAGAGACCACCTTTCAAAAGCTTACCCAAGCATCTTCTTGTTTCCCAAATTGCAGGAAATTTCCTCTACATCAGGGTAATGAACCTTACAAGTACTCAACATGTAGTACTGAAGGTTACGACCTAGCAAATCCTATCAATTTGCTGTTACCCTTTTGGTAACAATAATAAAAATAAGTTCTCTTAGCACATACAATAAACTGTTTCCTTCTATGTTCCTTCTCCATTTCTATTCCCAAATAGCTCTCCCCCTGGTCCCAAAAGGTCTCACCCGCCTCCTAGGAATGGGACATCTGATATCAGGTTGATCACCAAAGTTCTTATAGGTGATATAGTTTTCAGAGCAGATCAATACACCACTTGGGCCATCTGAGCCTCCAGGCACTGTAGGATGAAGCAAAACATGTTAATGAGGCCAAAGAATCTCAAAATCTTAACAATTCCCTCTCCCAAAGGCAGACCATGGCTTGACAAGGAGAAATTTACCACTGAGTTATGCTCTTAAGCTCACTATCATAATAGTCTATCTTGTTGACATACAAATGCAATATGCACCTTTTTAAGGTTAGATAAGGGCAGAGTCAAGTGCAATGTTTGTGGACCTATGAAACGGGTGGCAGAACAAAATCCTCACAAATCCAAAGGCTATGACAACAGGCTGGAGCATACAACGTGGACATGTGAAATCCTCAACTCCCTGCCAAGTTTTCATCTGTACTAGTTTCTAAGCCAGCTCCCTCCCTGTAAAGGAAAGTGTCAGGCTAAATGGCCTCTAAGGTCTCTCTTCCAGCTCTAAATCTATGAGGTTTCTCTCCTCTATTTTCAGATCAGAGTCACGAACCACTTCTCATGACATACACCTGGTCCCTCAAACTCTCTCAATATAGTACTTGTATATACATGTGTTCTGAGACCATTAAAATACTCCAAATGAGTTTAAATTAGTTTTTGCCTAATTCAAAAGAGATGATAAACTCCAAGGCAAGAATCCTATGAACTGTACCATATTCCTTTATATCCCTTGTAATACTTGGCAGAATCTTAAATACAGAAGGTGCTCAAAAAAAATCTTTGTTCGGGATAATGTAGATTTTCAAAGGACAGTAACTTTTCCCAAAGAAAAGGTTCCTTTCTCATCTTCTTAAATACACAATTCCTACCTCCCCTTCCCCAATAGTTAGTTTCCTCACCTAAAAAAATTTAAGGAGAAAGGGTGATGGGCAATATAACCCTTAAGATCTCTGCCAGTTCTAAAATACTTGTTTTAGCACCATTCCTTTTCTCTAATGCTGAACCCAATGTTCTGTAAAACTTGGACTCAGTCAAAAGGCCACACCGAGGACCTAGAAGGCCACAGGTGGCCGCCAGACTACAGCTTTTATCTCCTGACATATTGTTGTTTGTCCTTTTGGAGGAGGACCATGACATTAGGAAGGTGATGCCATGACTTGCATGTGAACTCAATTTAAGTGAGGGAGGGCTGTGCAAAGTCACCAGCCTCACTTTCTCCTCCAGAGCCATCTGTGTCCAATGGGCAGGATATAAATCAGTACAGCTAGAGACACAGTGGGAGACCTTGGTCTTTTAAATCTAAGATCTTTCAGTTCTCACTTGGACTGAGGTACTGCCCATTCAGCGATTAAGGCTAATCAAGAAAAAAGTCAACGAATGGCCCCTTTTACCTAATCAAAAAAAAAAATCAATCTGGAAGGGGGAGTCCCTTAGGGTTTCTGGCCAAAAGAAACAATTACTATTTATATTCACTGAGTCATCAAGGCCTAAAAACAGGCCACTAAGTGGACCTGGACCGGGACTTGTCATTGGCCAAACAATGAAGCACAGTGAATTTGGTTTAAGGCAAGGTCTTTTAAGGAAGAAATCTAGACCAAAAACCCCAAGATATCTGGCAAGGATACAGCCGTCAAAATTTATATTCCTTTGGGCAAAGCACCCACAGGTAAGAGTATGACACCCTATGTGGACAGCAGGAGAGGAGCTCCTGACAAATTAACAAGAACTGAACCCCACCCCCCTTTCCCTAACATTTTCAAAAACCTTTCCTCCTGCCTTATAAACACCTTGATTTCCCGTGTTAACACATACACACACACTCTCACTCCTTCCACTTGACCCTACCAATTACCCCCAAATTTCTTTCCTTTCACTCAATAATCACGTAAAATGTGCTCTACATCTACTTTCTATCCATTCATTCCCCCTCCAGACCTCACCGTAATCTAGCTTCCATTTTACTGAAATCATTACATAAGGCACACCTTCAGATGTCAACCTATGATCCCATGCTCTTCAAGGTGATCTTCTTAAATCCAAGGGCCTTATCTCAACCCTCATTTTCTGCTATCTCCCCCTCCACATCATATCGGTAACAAATTCCTTCTTGAAATGCTTCCCACACTGGGTTTCACTGACACTTAACTTCCTGTGGGCATCTTTTTTCCTTGCTCTCCCTCCTACCCAAAACCTATCTTTAGCGCTCCCCTTTGATTTCTTCATATTCACGACTTCAGGGAACTTCATCAACTCTGTGGTTCCCACCTCTCCGGATCACTCCCACGCTAAACTCATTTCCCTCACTCCAGCCTGCCTGAGGCCAGGCCAGGCTGAGAAATGGGCCATGAGCTGAGGAGGGGCAGGAAGCAGCTCGAGGGAGATGATACCTGTGATGAGGAAGTTGCCGTGCTCCTCCAAGGGCTCGCTGTATTTTCGCACCACGTGGTTTAGCCCTAGATCTAACTCATAGAAAGTGAGGGTTTGCTGGGTATTGGCTGCCGCTTCTCCCGTTGGATCATTGTCTGCTTCCTGCAAAGAACAAAAAGCAGAGAGGAACAAAACCAAGCTGGAGCCACGTGGTAGTACACCTGCCTGGCAGAATGAAGGCAGGCCCTTCTTCTATATCTCAGGGGGTTCACAATGGGTTTTTCCCCAGTGTCTGCATTATGAGGTTATAAAATCACTTTTCCTCTCGTTGATGTTGTCTAACCTCTTCTATCTACAGCTTGTTTGTGCAGCTGCTTTGCCTGTCATCTCTCATTAGACAAGAAGCTCCCTGAAGGCAAGGATGTCTTCTGCCTCTCTTTGTGTCTTCAGTGTGCAAGATGAACGTTCACTGATTTGGGTAGACGGCTCAAATCAGAGCCTAGAACACTTAATACATGCAAATCAATTCCTAAACACTTCAGAGTAAAAGGCAGCAGCCCACTATGGAGAGGGCGAGACAAGGAGCTACACAGCAGAAGGCACTCTCTAAAAAATGCTGACCCAATGTGAAACAAAGGAAGAGAAGGAAAGCTACTCTACGGTGTCCTTTACCTCATAATCCATCTCCAGACAAGCAAACATGGGATTTTCAAATCCAACATCTACTCCAACCACATGATAAACCAAAGTATTGGCCTTGTGGGCTTCCAAAGGGGAGGAAATGGTAAGCCGGGCAGCAGCATCTCTGTTAAGAATGTAAACCAATTTCTGCTTTTCAATGGCACCTGAAGGTGAAGACAAAACACACACATGAGCACCCCATATCGTCTGCATCAAAAACAACAATTACAGAATTCTATGCAGAGCTCACATACCACGAAGATGACAGGATCACGCAACGTAAAGCTGAAAGGGACCTCCAAGGCCAGCTAGTTCAGGCCCCTCCTTGGACATGAGATAACTGAGACTCAATCATGCAACTTCTAAGTGTCAGAGACAGGACCTGACCCCAGGTATTCCTGACCATAAATATCATTTCAACAACTGTCTCTCTCCTACAATAGATCTACAATACCATACTTTCCATCTGTTTGTACTTAGCAACTTCTTTTAAAAATTGGCTTGTGTGTTCCTATGTATTTAAGGTAATTTGGGACTTAGTGAAAAATTATTTTCAGTCTAAGATCAACTATTCCCATTATTTCAGGAATATTCAGTGAGAGTTTCCCCCTCAAAGCCTGATCAGTTATACAACATATTTTCTCCAGAAAAAATCTCAGAGAAGAGACATGAATGTAAATCATCATTTCAGGCTGATGAAAACATTTATACCCAAGGTCAAAGAAGCCAACTTCCTCCCTAAAACAGTCATTCCCTCTCTCTACCACATCTAAAATGAGACAAGCTTGTTCTAGAGGACGATGGGTGGCTATGAAAATTACAGAAAGCAGAGAAAGGATTTATGTTGACCCTACCATTTAAAAAGACAGAAGTCACTACTCTACTATTGGGATATGACACATTTTACACATCAATAACTAGAATTGGGCAATAATTATACAGTAGGACAGCTAGGTGGCACAGTGAAGGAAATGCCAGGCCTAAAGTCAGAAAGACTCATCTTCCTTGGTTCAAATCTGACCTCAGATTCTCACTGTGTGACCCTGGGAAAGTCATTTAACCCTATTTGCCTCAGTTCCCTCATCTGTCAAATGAGCTGGAGAAGGAAATGGCAAACCACTCAGTATTTTTGCCAAGAAAACCCCAAAATGGGGTCATAAAGAGCTGGACACCACTGAAACAAGCAAACAAATTGTAGAGGTGTATTGATATCTTATCAAGAGAAATTCCCCATTTTCTAATCAGGTTAACCTACACAGTCTCAGAAACTAGAATTCCCAGCATATAGCAACCTCACCTTAAACTAAGCCATCAGTACAACCAAAACTATATAGAACCCAGTTGCAAAAATCACTTACTAATCATGACAGCTCTGCCTTTGGGATCAACAGCTAAGAATTGTCCAGGTACAATTCGGCGGCACCCACTCTTGCCAAAAGTTTCCTGATGGATCTTCTCAAACATGTTCTTGGATGGCTGATACTCCAGGATGACAATTCGGCCTGAGTCACTGCCAACGACAATGTAATCTTTTGTACCACCTGTCAACCTGAAGGCCATGAGGGATCTGATAACACCAAACACTTCCACAGTCAATAGCGTGTGCACCTTCCCAGTGTTGGGGTCAGGCCGGAGCAGCTCCAAAATCTTCCCTCGAGACACAACAATCTCTTGTTGTTTGGTCCCTAGATTACCAAAGAGGAAAGAAGATGATCACAAACAATCAACAAAATCTACCTGAAAAAGGAACACAGAAGTGCTGACAGACCACGGCAAATAACAAAATGCATTACAAATTCGTTTTATTGTATGTATTTTAAGAGGTCTCTACATCACTGCAATGAGGGTCCTCTGAAATGTACTTTCTTCTCACTACCTGGAAATCCCTGGCTTCCTTCAAGACTCAGCTCTACCTTCTACACAGATCCCCAGTGCTGCAAGTGTCCTCCCTCCCCAAACCACTTCATTTTCATTGTGGACACATTCTGTATACGCCATTTTATATATATATACACGTGTCTGTCTCTGCTCCTTGAGATCGTGTACTAGTCACTTTCTTTCTAATTCCCTCCAATCCAGCTTAACACACAGTAAGTGCTGAATTCTTACGGACCAATTTATACATCCTATCTCCCCAGCTAGACCAGTTCCTTCAGCAAAAGCACTGGTGGTCTTTCTTTCTCCCACAACACTGTGGGGATCAATGAACACTTACCCAACTTCTAATGACTTTGGAAATATCCTGGGAGACAGGAAAATATAACCTTGAGGTGACCTGTTACTACACCAATTTTAGAGATTTTGAAGCGGATTAGGCTAATTTACATTTGCAAACTGCCAGCTCTAGCCAATCCCACCAGATGACTGAAAATTTATCATTTGTTAGTTGGTTAGACAAAAATAGAAATGTTACTTTGTTTTCAAACTGGAAAAACCATGGCTAGAGAACTCACCTGAGAAGTTGCCATGAATGGCAAAGCTGATACCAGTGGCTCGCTGCAAGGTCAAGTTGTACAGGAACATGGTGGCAAAGTAACAGGGTCACACAGTACCTCTGAATTCAAGTTTCAGTATAGACCTGCTCCAACATGCACTAAAGAATATGTAAAAAAAAAAAACACAAACCTGTTAGTTTCAAACCCCCGCTTCGTCAGGATGGTAGGTGGGTGCATAAAACAAAAATTTTTAGGTTTTTTTTTCCCTCCAATAATTTGAAGGAGAAAGTAACGTAAGCCTTTCCAAGCTCTCGTTTCTTCCCAAAAATATTAAACCAAGGATGCAGCATAGTGTCCACACTAAGAAGCACTCCCTCTTCAAGAGAAGATTAACAAATTCGTTCCATCTTAAAAGAGTACCTGAGCTGGATCAAATGTCCAGAGGCACACTGCACAGAGCACTGAACCTGGAGTCAGCTCAGACATCCGGTAGCAGCTACGTAACCCTGGGGGAGTCCCTTAACCTCCTCCATCCTGTTTCCCCATCTGTAAAAAGCAGGCAACAGCACCTATCTCTCTCAGGGTTGTTTCTAAGAAAGAAACAAACGTTATGACAGTGCCTACTATGTGCCTGGATACTACGCCGCGCACTTTACTAATCTCGCTCTCTTCGATCTTCACTACAAGTCTGGGAGGTCGGTACTACTAGGATTCCCATTTCACAGATCAGGAAACCGGGGCTGGCCGAGGCGAAGCGCTTCGCCCGCAGTCACACAGCCAGCAAGGGTCGGTGGTGGGGGTTGAACCAAGGAGCCACCACGGGGTCTCGGCCGCCCGCACCCCAAGCCCGCTGCAGGCGGGCAGCAACGGCCGGATAACGGGCTCGGGTCATCCCTCCGCGGTCTCCCCCTCCGCGCTGCGCCAAAATGCTCGCCCCGGGCCCTTCCCAGACTTCCCGCCCCCTCGCGGGCCTGCGGCCTTCCTCCTCGCCCGACCTTCGCCCCGGGGGGCCCCTCACCCCCCTCCAGTGAGCAGCCCGGGGTGTGCTCAGGCCAGAAAAAACCCGAAGGGGCGCAGGGAGCCCTCCCGCCACGCCTGCCGCCCCCTCCTCACTGCCCCGAATAAGGCCCACGGCCTGAGGCCTAGCTTCCCCCGCCCCCGCCGCCGGCCTGGCCCGCCAAGCCCTCGAAGCGTCGGTGGGGACCAGCTCCCCTACATCCCTCCTGTCCCCCGGGGTGCACGGGCCTCGCGACGTCGCTACTTACCCCGCGGGCGGGCAGGATGGCGCAGATATCCGACGGATAGAGATTCCCCCCCCCGCCACAGGGCCTAAGCCGCCAAGAGCTCCATTCCGCCAGCTTCCTACATTCGCCGCCCAAAGGAGCCAAGTGCGCAGACGCCGAGCGAGGACCTTTCGGTCCCGCGCCAGAGGGAAAGGAGGTAGCCGACACCGCGCCTGATCCGTGGTCCACCTCTAGCCCCTCCCCCACCGTCATTTTGAAAATTATTTAAAAACAATATGAAATTCCTCCTTCCCTCCTAGCAGAGGCACAGATACTCAGGAATCAAAGTGCACCATTTTATATGTCAGTGACGGAAGCGTCTGGCATTTACACCGAGTGAGATTGTGTATGCAAAGCAGTGCCGACCTTGAAGCGCTATAAAAATGACAGTTGCTGCTCTTGTTATTATCATTATACAGGGTGCCCAAAAGTCTTAGCGCTCATCTATGTCGTTAAAAGCTTAAAAGTGCACGAGGACTTCGGGAACAGCCCCAGTTAAATCATTTTTTTCTCCATTCCTATTGTTACAGGCACCTACCTAGGCAGCCACACCCGCGGGGGAGGGGAGAAGGGAGGGGTCCTCCGTTGCGCCGCCGGAACTGCGGTGTCGGCACCAAAATGGCGGACGGGAGCTCCCCGGTCAAGCTGTTGGGAGGGGCGGCGGTGGCGGCTGAGGGTATGGGAGGCGGCTGCTGCTCGGAGCTCTCTGCCGAGCTCATCCGCTCTCTGACCGAGTTGCAGGAGCTGGAGGCAGTCTACGAGCGTCTTTGCAGTGAGGAGGTGGGCGTCCCACCTCCCCTCTCCCCGCCCCTCCCCGGGAGGCCCGGGCCTCCCTCTCGCCTCCGAGCCCTGGGACGGCTCGGGGACGGGCGGCTGGGAGGGGGCGAGGCCTGGAGGGGTGTGTGGTGGGGGAATCAGGGAGCCCCGCTTGCTGCGTCTCACGTAATCTCACCCAGCCTCAGTTTCCCTCTACATAAAATCTTTCTGGTACTTAAAGCGCTACGCAAACGTCAAGTTTCCTGTCATCGTTCGGGACTGTCTTGGGGGTGGGGGGCACGGCAGCCTCCTCCTGCGATCTGGTCGGGGGCCACATTCTAAGGACGACCTGGGAGTGACCATTGGGCGACGACCCTGGAGGCCCGGTCATCCTCCGAACCCCTAGCGCCGGCCCGCAGTAGGCACTTAATAAATGCCGATTGATTGATTAGTGTCGTGGACCCCATTCGGCAGTCTGGTGAATCCAGCCCTGGACTCTTTCTCAGATCGATGCCTTTAAATGCATAACGTAAAATGCGCTGGGATTACCAAGGAAAGCAGTCACGTCGAAAGTTTTCCAAACATTAAAAAAAGGAAAAAAAGATCAGACACCCAGCCCCTGCACACACCAAATGGGGTCGTTTAGACTGAAGAAAAGAAAACGTGGTAGAACTTCCAAGTATTTGAAAGTATATTATGAGGAAAAGCAGACGTCATTACATTCAATAAACGCTAAGTGCCTGCTATGCGCTAAGTACTGGCAACTGAGGCCTCAAGGCTTTTTTCCGACCCTGGGATCAAAAGATCTCCCTCACCCTTCCTCCATCACCCTCTCCCCTTCCACCCCTCCCTGGGTTTATCTTAGTAATTAGCTTTTCCTAAGTCCTGTCTTAGGCAGGGATATATTCACCCGGCTGAGAGCCCTGTGTTTCAAGTCTTTTAGGAGTGGAAAGGAGGGAATCTGCAGATTTGTTTGATTTTAAAATAGCAATGTGCACTTTAAACTGCAAAACCGCCTCACAGTCGTTTACACTTGAAAGTTTCCACACACAATAATGTTATTTAACATCACTGTGTCTCTTCCTCCATTTGTCTTTGCTTATGTTTTTCCTTTCACATAGACCTTTGATAGTCATGCATTCTGTTGTTTTTGTTATTTTTTCACTAATACTTCTTCACAAAAGTTTTTCCACATTTCTTTATATTCCTCATACTTAAATGACATCATTGCAGTCTATTACATTGATATACCATGGTCTATTCACTGACTGAGTGACTGATGTACCATGGTGTATTCAACCATTCACCAACTGTTGGATGTATTTCCAGTTCTTTGCAATCATAAATAATATTGATATATGTGGGTGTATATACATATGTACACATGTATGTATAGGTACACAGGAATATTTATAAACATATATTTGAATATCTGTAACTGTTAATAACACTTTTAATGTATATTCCCAATAATGGGATCATTGAGTCAAAAATTATTATTTTTGCCATTCTTGCTATGTACTGCCAGATTGTCCTCCAAAAGCCCAAATGTTCTGTGAAACTCTTTGAGGCCTCTTGCCTGGATTTAGATAGATCTCTGTTAAATGCCAGAGTCTATCAATTGGAGCCTCGAGACCTCTCAAGCTGAGAACTTTACTTTCTCATCATATGCACCAAATTCACTATTTACTGCCTGTCTGTCATGTTCTTTACCTAGCAGAAGTAAGAATCCTTCCCTCTGGTCCAGATTGGGCAGCTACATAGGGAACAGTGAAAAGATCATGAGAGCATAGATCTGGAGCTGGAAATGACTTTAAAAACCATCTAATACACTCCCCTTATTTTACAGAGGAGGAAACTGAGGCTCAGAGATGTTCAGTGATTTGCCTGAGGTCACACAGTAAGCAGCAAACCTAGGTCTCCTGGCTCCGAGATTAGCACCCAGCCAAAGCTTCTGTTTAAAGTTAGGTGTAAAGGGCTAGTTTAAGCCCATGCCAACTTATTGATCTCTTTGGGGATGATCAAACCTTTATGAGCACCAACTACAGCAGTTAAGTGTACCCCACACAAGATTTTTAAAGCAATTATCTGCTTTTTCAGGTTTGGTACATTTGACCTAGCATTTAACCACCATGCTAAGTACCTCATTTGTTGAATTTGTCAAGATTTGTAGGAGTCTCCAGGGGCTATTAGAGTTTTATTTTATATATACCAAATGTACTTCCGTACTGTTTATGGTGAGTTTTCCCTTGAAATCAGACTAAGCTATATTAATGGAATTGGATGGGACCGTGCTTTTTGGCTTTTAGAAAATAATGTTTGTAGTTGCTGTGCATTTCTTCTCGCTGTCCCTCTCTCCCCTAAGTACATGACCAATGTTGAAGATCTGAGCTTGTCTCTTCAGAGATGGTGTGAACCTGGAAATGACATGAGCTTTGCTGTTTGTTTCAGAAAGTAGTGGAAGAAGAGCTGGATGCCCTTCTGGAGCAGCAAAGCACAATCGAGAGCAAGATGATCACCCTGCATCGGATGGGGTGAGTGAGCCCCTTTGGCTCGTCAGGGACGATTCTCCTGTCACAGGGGAGTAGAATGGGAAGAAGCCCTGGATGTGGAGTCAGAGAACCTGCTTTGTGGAAACCCCATCCCTGCTGTGTCCTTAGTCCCTGTGTGACCTTAAAGAAGCCGCCTCATCTCTGTGAGCCTCAGTGTCCTATCTGTGAAGAGAGGGAGTTAGGCAAAGTCAGCGAAGTCAGCGCTTCTTAACCTTTTTAGTATCATGGACTCCTTTGTCAGTCAGGCGAAACCTAGGAACGCCTTCTCAGAATGTTTTTAAATAGGTAAGATTAAAAAGCAAACCAATTTTATCGAATTAAAGATGTAAAGGGCAGCTAGGAGGCTCAGTGGATAGGGTCCAGCCCTGGAGTCAGGAGGACCTGAATTCAAATGTCACCTCAGACACTTACTAGCTGTGTGGCCCTGGGCAAGTCACTTTACCCTGTTTGCCTCAGTTTCCTCATCTGTCAAATTAGCCAGACAAGGAAATGGCAAACCAATCCAGTATCTTTGCCAGGAAAACCCCAAATGGGATCACCAAGAGTGAGCTACAACTGAAACGACTGAACGACAGCAAAAAAGACATAAACGGGGCAGCTAGGTGGCTCAGTGGATAGAGCACCAGCCCTGGATTCAGGAGGACCTGAGTTCAAAGCCAGCCTCAGACACATAACACTTACTAGCTGTGTGGCCCTGGGCAAGTCACTTAATCCCATTACCTAGCCAAAAACAAAGGAAAAGAAAAAAGAAAAAAAAGAAAGACATAAACCTTGAAGTTTCCATTGGATAAATTAGCGATTTTGTTAGTTTCTTTGTTATAAATTTCTGGTTGTGTTTGGGTCTGATTATCATCTCCATGCAGACGACTCACAGATTTATATACCTAGATCCAGTCTGCCTCCTGAACTCTATTCCCACTTCACTAACTTCTTCCTCTTGATTTCAAATTAGATGTCTCAGAGACATCTCAGAATTCACACTTTCTAAAACAGAACTCATTAAATTTCCCCCCAAACCCCTCCTCTACCTGCCTTCTCTATTTCTGTCAGACCCCACCATTTTTTCTGTCTCACACATTCTTAACCCTGGCATTATCATTTTCCTCACTCCCTCTCTGTTCATATCCAATCAGTTTCCAAATCTTACTGTCTCTCCTGCCACATCTTCTCTTGTGTCCTTCCCCTTTCATGTACAATCGCAGCCATACCTTTTTTTCACCTCTGTCAGACTCTGGCAGTGACCTCCCAGTCAATCTCCTTGCCTCATGTCTCTCCCCAGACCAGGCCATCTTCCACACAATTGCCAGAGTGATTTTTTTCTTCAGCACAGTTCTGACCACTTCACTCTCCTCCTCCATTAACTCCTGTTGCTCCCTATCACCTCAGGGATCAGATTGAAGTTGAAGTGTTTTATACCTAGTCTTTCCCACCCCATTATACTTTACTGCACTTCCCACACTATGTAGTCCAGTCAAACTGGCCTTCTCTGTGTTCCTCACACATACAGCACTCCTCCCCTCTCTTCATGCATTGACCATCCTCCATGCCTCCGGGGCACCCCTTCCTCAACTCTGCCTCATAGACTCCCTTGCTTCTTCAATATTTAGCTCAAGCCCCTCCTTCTAAATAGAGCCTTTCAGCCAGAACCCTCCCTCCCTGAGAGAGATATATATATATATGTGTGTGTATGTGTATATATATTGTATATATATGTGTATATATATACATATATATATATGTGTGTATGTGTATATATATTGTATATATATGTGTATATATATTGTATATATATATGT